AAAAMYTTTYMAARSMAMCYTKRAARKTWAAAARRAGTCGAATTCTCTCGATTTTCAAAATGTCTRTTTTAGTCTCGTGCGATTGATGTTTGTTTGTGTTATATACAGATGGGTTTATCAGAGATACTGCGAGGAGATGAGCAGAATAGCTCTAATGATAATGGAGCTTCTGGCGATAAGCCTAGGTGTAGAGAGGTTCCATTATAGGAAGTTCTTCGAAGATGGAAGCTCAATAATGAGATGCAATTACTACCCGCCATGCCAAAACGCAGGCCTCACCCTCGGCACTGGCCCTCACTGTGACCCAACTTCTCTAACCATTCTCCATCAAGACCAAGTTGGAGGCCTCCAAGTRTTCGCAAACAACACATGGCTCTCTGTCAAGCCTCGACCGGATGCATTGGTCATTAACATTGGAGACACTTTTATGGTACCTCTTTTAACTTCTACTACTCTTCTCTTTTGTATAATTTGTATCAAAATGACATGACATGACGTGACAAACCAAACCCAATTGGGGCCGGGRTGCTCGCTATTCAAAGACACAAACATAAACAAGAGAGAGAAGATCATTTGAATGCTTTGCTTTGAGCTAGATCCATCAAAGAGAATTTAAAAAGCTGATAATCCTTAATAGTTCAGGGGTCAAACTTCTCTTACATCCAACGGTGGTGGAGAGAGAATTTTAATGATTTGAAACTAGAACCATAAAAAAGGGAATTATCCCCACAATCGTAAAAGTTCATGTGTCAAACTATATATAACTCATCTAAAATTGATATGTCGTAATTAAGTCATATGAGCTACATTATTCTAGTCTCCTCGAATAATTCGGTTGGTACCGGTGGTGCAGGCACTCTCGAACGGAGCGTACAAGAGCTGCCTGCACAGGGCGGTGGTGAACAGGGAGAGAGAGAGGAGGTCACTGGTGTTCTTTGTGTGCCCGAAAGATGATAAAGTGGTGAGACCCCCACAAGATTTGGTGGGCAGAGAAGGGCCAAGAAAGTACCCTGATTTCACATGGTCAGACCTTTTGGAGTTTACCCAAAACCACTATAGAGCTGATGTTGCTACACTCCAAAGCTTCGTTCATTGGCTCCTTCGCCGACCCTCTCCCTCTCCCTCCAAATAAATCTTCTCTCTTTCTTTCATTAAATTATATATATATATATATATACACATAGTTTTTATTTGGTTTGTCCTTTTTCCTACTTYAATTTGTTCTTATTTCATATTCTCTCTTTTGTGGCTTCTCTTTTTTCTGCCCATGCTTGTCCTTCTCTCTGTTTCTATATTCCATTTGGAAGCTCTTACCTAAATGCTGCTGCCTCTTCATGCTTTTACCWTTTAACTTTTAACTCATCTTCAGGGGCCTGATTGCTGTTAATTTTGTACACTGCCCTTTTTCTCAACTTTCTTCTTCTATTTCTAAGTCCCATCCATTGGATGCTAATACTTTTGGCCCAAAATGAATTGCACTGATCTTGATGCAATGTATTTGAAGGGGTTGTTTTTATTTCATAAGAGGGTGTATAATGGCAGATAGTAAYATCTTGATCAATTGAGGTGTGTTAGCTCAAATCTTCACTCACTCGGAAGAATGCTACAGGTATCCACAAACCAAATATAAGACAGATTGGATCAATCCCGAGGTGTGKAGAGTCAGATTTTATCCAATGAATGGTTGGGTCGAGTCGGTCACCCYGCCAAGTAAAGACYATGGTGTGGAACTACATGGTCTAACTCATTTGAAAACCTAAGTTCGAACAGTATAGATGAAGTGAGTTTATATATAATACTAAAATCAACAAAATATTTTCAGAAGAGGCAACATTTTTTCGACTTTTTTCGTATTAACATAAACATAACTGGATGATCCTCTAACAGTGTAACTTCTCAGACAATAATTTTACAATGCAGTTCCTTATACAARAGAATGATTACAACATTCATTCCAGTTTCAAAGAGGCTGTCTCCYAACCCATAAAAGTTGGTTCTTCTTCCTGTGTTCCAACCTACACAAGTTTACTCAGATTTGGGGAGTGATATTATGATAGGGGTACCTTATTTAATGATATAACCGTAAATTAGCTTCAATAATAAGATACCTCAAGGGCAACGAGGAAGTTTTTATTAACTCAGGTATATAGTCTCAAGCGCATCTTTATAGGTTCTCGACACAACGGACACGTCGAGATGGTTGCGCCACAGTCCTTGCAGGTCTGGAAAAAGAACAGCAAATAAATAGTAGGCAAATATTCACAAGTGTGCAGGTCAAACCTATGGCGAGGGGCATGTCCTGCACCCGAGTGATAAGGTGCTCGCCATTTGCGCATTTTAGTCGCCATGAATGTTTGTTCATGGCAACAAAGGCACTCGCCTCACTCATGAAGAACAAAACCATTAGACATTTTCTGTCCATTATAAAATAGAAGGACAAAACCATTAGACATTTCCATTCCATTAGAAAATACTACTCCTTGACGCTTTTATACGTCACACATAATTCCAACTTTCAAATGACTTTAGTAACAACTAACCCATTTTTATCCATTCTCTTCCGCTGCAATTCAAGATACTAACGCAAACTAGCATTATTATATGTTTCCTCTCCAATGTAGTTTGAGAAATATCATATGGAGTAAAATGCTGTGAGATTTCTATTCATAACATCCAACTTTCATTTGATATTATACTTGATGTGGAAGGTATGAAAATTCTAACGTTTCTGTGGTATACAAAATAGCTCCTTCAATATAAAAATCTTTGAATGACAATGAATCTCTTTATGCCATGCAGGAAACAATACTACGGAAGTAACAGCAACAATTCTTTGGCGGCAGCAATAGAAACAGAGCAAGGAGACAGTTAATAAGATTAGCAACTAAAATGGGACTATTTATACAACCTATAAATATGCAGCATATACTTGCTGTCTTAACTTGGCTATCAATGAGGAAAGGAACTTGTAATAAGTCTAAAACTGCAACCTAAATCTAGCGGTGTGAAGAAGTTCCATGGTAGAGAACTTACCGTATGGCCACATGCAAAAGCCATGTCCTTTGGATTCGTCAGGCATATTGGGCATACCTTGAACAAGTTAATTTTAAAAAATTACATTAATGAAGCCATCAAACAAACAGGAAAAGAAAAGTTTCGATTTATGAGATACTCTCACAACTCAATGCCTTTTCAGCAGGACAAATTTATCTTCCTAATTTATCAGATATTCGTATAATGCCTGAGTAACTTATAATTTTTATATGCAGTTTTCTCCTCTGCTTCATCTCCCTAATTTGCAAGAATCTGTTTCAATTCATAAGCTTTCCATCGAAGTTTTTGCTTGTTCACCAAAATTCCCTATATTCATAACCCTATGCCAGTTTTAACCCGAAAATACAACAAAATTTTCTTAGATTATTTGTAAAGCCACAAATGCCTGTTTTTCCCATTCTTAGAAAAGTCCATAAATAAATGAAAGTGAAGTTACCGATTCGGCTGAGGCACTCGGTTTTTCAGCATTTAYGTTCTTCAAATCTTGGTTTGCAACTGCATTGTCATGATTAATGACTTCAGGAGGAGGAGGCAGCGGCCTTGTACTTGTGCCATTTACAGATTCTCTCCTGCATAATAGTCAGGGTCATTTTTGCAAATCCGAAACTGTAAATGTAAATTCATTTGGAATTGAAAACCCTGGCTTACTTTGAGTACTCCAGAGAGAGGGTAGCTCTGTATTGAAATGGAATTTCCATAAAGGCAGCCAGGGCAAATGCTGCTTCCTTCTTTGATGTGTCTGTGTTTTCGGACATGATTTTTGTGAAGTTAACAAACTGGACCAATAGAGAAAAGCAGGTTTAAGTGAAGTTACAAGCTGGACCAAGCACAATCAAAGACTGATTTCCAAAAACCAGCCACATGGTGAACTCAGATCTTGAAGAAAAAAATCATGGCAAAGTGCTATATGGATAGGCCACAACATTCGACGGAGTTAATAGAAATTAGAAAATACACCGACATAATATTCAATATTAATGCAAAATAAACCCATATTCAAGACCATTTTATAAAATTAAAAAATAACCAAGCATCTGGATTCAATGAGATATTAATTAGATACCTGAAAGTTGTCAAATGCACGCTGAGGGATGTTGTCGTCAAATTTCTGCATAGCATCCCAAGGTCCATCCCCTACCCCGATTAGAATGATTGACAGAGGATAATGACTGGTGATTCAAATGTTAATGAGACATCAAGCGCAAAAACAACTAAACTTTACAAAAGTTATTGTCTTACCTAGCAGCAACAATGGCGTTTATGGTTTCCTGCTCTTGAAAACTCAATCTACCAGGTGGTGTGTCAGGATATCTTGTAACCTGTTCAATATTAAATAATTTTAGGACTTAAGAGAACAAACTATACACAAAATATGGAAAAATAAGAAATTATACAAACAGAGCATATCCCAACAACCTGTCCATCTGCAACAATAACGAGGACATGATACTGCCAATTGCTTTCCTCAACAATGTTCATTGCAGCATATATAATAGGGGCAAAAGAGGTCGGACCTACATAAATAAGCTCAAGTAATTCGTTAGGRCGGTTATAACTTAAGAAGAAGAAAATTATATTAACCAGTCAAAGCATTTTAAAACATAATCCACAGAAAACCCTTAAGAGTTGGAAAATATATAATGCATGCAAAACTCCTCAAATAATGTAAATAAATATATTTCACTAAATGCTTCAGTTCTTCATGGGCMGACAACTTACGGTTTGTGAATGATAAGCCATGGAATAAGAATCAACAAGTACGGAAATAAGCCTAACTAAGAAACATTAATAATAATAGCACAATGTTACATATTTTTGCTTTATGAAACATGCGAGAAAGTGCCTCAATGTGGCTAAAAATTAACCCCAAAAAAACCTCAAGTTTGCACATACCATACTTATGGAATAAATACAGGAAAGAAAAAAAAACACTTTGACTTGAGACTTAAAGAAGAGACAAAACAATGATATTCCCATAGCTCTTCAGTACTTTTAGTAGGGCTCTTAAAGATCCTTCAATTTCTCTCAATCCACAATACGACAAAACTGCTCAAATGCCATTAAGCCACAAAATTTTAGCCCAATACACTGGCATTTGAAGAATGAACAGCCCAAGTAACTTCATCCACTAGACCACTAGATAGGGATAGGTTAGATAAATGATCCCTCTGTGCTATTTCTGTATAAGCAGCACCAATTAGGACTTGCATGAAAAATGAACTACCTTGGGATGTAATCATTTGATTGATACCATCCCAACTTAAAGAACAAATACGCTCCAGTTTTTAAAGCTATTAATTGACAGGCTTGTATATATCAACACAAGACCTCCATTAGCAGAGAAGTTGCACTTAGTAAAGGAGAAAAAGTATATAAAAATTGAGATCTGCATTATGATCCATACTACGAATAATGGTAATAAATAGCAAAATAAATTTGTAAAGTTGACTGGGAAGTTCAAAAGAACCTGATAAGCTCAGGTATGGCAGAATTTCTCTATATCGAGATAGAGCTTCATTGAAACCTTTACATGGCCTGTGATCAGGATAAAAGCTGAATACATGCTGATCACGTGTTGATGCTACAGAAAAAGAAGTTAAAAACAAGGTAATTAGGCAAGAGAAAAGTTGATTACTAACACTTATGTAGAGGATTTAGAAATAAGTAAAACCAATGCCAACCATCACCAAAACCGAAACAAGGTATCAAGCCATCTTCATCGAAAGGAGACAAAGTATGACCAATTATAGAAATTGCTTGCTCATATGGATTGGGTCTGATGCTGGTAATTGAATGCAGACTTTTTCTTCTGAAAGATTGCCTGCCTGCAGTCAGTAAAAGGTAACTACTAGCAATTTGTGAAAGATAAGCTTTGTAAAAAWTTTTTAACATAAAGAAAGATTCACCTGTCCACTCATTGCTCTTTGTAAAGTCAATACCAAGAATTAAATTTGATGATTCAAGGCCTTCATGTCTCAATGCATGTATAACCTGAACGAAGTGAGTGTCATGTTTTTTCAGTATGCAAGTAGTTGTATGAATGTCTGCTTGAGGGTACAGTGAATTTGATAACAAAGAAAAGAGAAAATATAAAGCCTAACTTCCAAATATATCAGCAGGAATAGCATACAGAATGAACTGTTTTATAAAATTCTATGCACAAAATAACTTCAAAAAGATAAATAAGGARTTGAGCCAATCTAGACAAATTCCTAAAGAATGGAATTCCAAGAAATTCTCCATAGTTATGTCCACATATTTTTAAGAAGATTGAGATCTCTCCTCCGTGCAGGAGTTGGTTAGGAGATGTTAAGAACACTTGACTTGTTTTCTCAACGACTTTATTGGAAAGCCCTTTAGTAAGGATGCATCATTCCCTCTAACAACATGGCTAAGCTACTTTATGGCCGGAATCCTCTGTACATCCACTTGCAGCCTCTACATATTATCCACAAAGGATTGTAATCTTGCTTCTACTGCATCCATTTTTTTCCTCTTAGCATGCCCTAGCTCGTCATCTCTCATACCAAAGTTCATACAATGCATGGAAGATTAGAGGAATATATGAAGAGATGTTTTCATATACAGATTACAAAATTCCAGAGGGTCTACAACTCTTCTTAGATTTCATTAATTCCCTGACCAACTCTTATCGCTTTTCCTTATTCTTAATAGCTTCCTCCTTAGCTAACCTACAAAACTACTTCTTGTAACTTATATCATGATGAGTTACTTTATTCCAGTTGATATAAAAATGCAAGTATTTGATTACAAAAGGAGGTTAACAGGAGAGATAGCAGTTTCAGTGAGCTGATCCAATGAGAAAACCACACAAAAATTAGAAAACAAACAATTCTGTTCTTGATCATAATGCCACATGGGGAAAGGCTATAACTATCCTTAATCTCAATAAAGGTGCAAAACCACAAATGGTAATGAATTGGAGACAATATTGAATTTGTTCAGCATGTTTTTATACATGAATTGAGCAGACAGGATAAAATAGCAAAACCTGATCCAATGAGCTGAAATTATCAGCAATATACTGAGGATTTCTTTTGCGACGATGATCCGAATCCATTGAACTCTCTGCGTACAAAAAGGTCAAAGTAGGTTCTCATTGACGTTATTATATTATGGTTATTCCACATTCGCCAATCCCAAATCGAACGCCAAATACACATTCGTACGCACAATTGACCATAAGCATGAACTCAAAAAACATCTTTAATTCAAAGAACATAAGGTTTGAGGAGCAAAGTACTTTTTAATAGGAAACATAAGAATCAATTAGGATACCCTTTTTCTGAACTTGTACATATACTCCACTACTATATTAGAATAAAAAGTATTTAATATCACATCACCACTCAAATCATTCAAACTTGCTATATCAGATTTGGGAAATCTGTAACTATCCCATAAACATATACCCCCGGCTCGATTCATGTAATTGGGTGACTGAAGCAGATAACAGTAAATGGGTACTTTCCGCTAGGCATATGGGGCTTACACTTTATGCAAGAGAACCAATATCCAAGCTAAATTGAGCTTAACCAGAAAGCAAATCAGACCATGGGGGCCAAAATTCAGTGAATAAAAGAAAAACATGCTTTGAATTCAGTTAGGAGCAAAATAAAAAGAAATACATCAAAGAGCGGGCAGGAACTCACAGAAAGCAGAAGGGAGAATTGAGCAATCGGTGGCCTGTAATGAGAAATGAAGGTCAAAAGCAAACAGAGAGCGGTTTGAAATTGAATATGCGATATTAAAGTGAATATAATGGAGAGATTCCTTCTGCCGCCTGTCATCTCCAACTTGAAGCAAAAGGCTCCTTGTTAATTGCTAATGCGTGCACCCCATGTTCAATCAAATGCGAGGAATGCCTCAATTTTCCACTTTTTTTAATGGGTTAATTCAATTTTGAGTATCAATCTGTGATTTGTTGAGGATTTCGAATGTGATGTTTTGAACTGTRTTAAAGTTAGTTTTTCTTTTTTCAATAAATGCATGTCTAATTAGATATATAAAATAATAATAGTCAACTTATTTAAATATGAGTTTTTATTTTTTAAATTCAAACGATAAATTTTACCGATTTCAAGTCAAAATTAATCTAATGTAATGGTAAGAATATCAAATTTTCTCTTCAAAATGGTAAGTCTTTAGTTAATATTGACGTTTATGGAGCTGTGTTGAATAGTGCAACTTCACATGGTATGTATGAAGATTTCAATTTTTTAACTCAAAAGAAGAATTTGATGTTCAGTTAGATTTTTTTAGTAAATGCATGTCTAGTTAGATATATAAAATAATAAGCCATGTTATTAGATTATTTAATTTCAGTTTTTTTTTTTCCAAACAATACAAAGTCAGTATAGTTCAATAGTTAAAGTATATCTACTAATTTTTTTTTTGTTAGGTTTCAATCAAATCCTTACGAATTATTAAAAGAATTTACTAATTTCAACAAAAGTCCCATCTTTATTCTAATAATTATTTTTTTTTATAGTGTATTAGGACATCTATTTGTAATTTTATTGAATGTATGTGAAAATATTTTTTATAATCATTGTTCTTATGGGAGCCTGAATAAAGGAAAATTGATTACACTTGTTCGATGTAATGAAATTGAAAATTTAAGATAAAAATAATTACTTGTTTAAAAAAAATATATTGGTATTATATAATATAACATTATCGGTGTAAAACTCATTTCTCAAATCTCATTAAATTAATCAATGGACGAWTTTTAAATCAATTTGAATATTTGTCAAATGGAACATACAACTTATAACCACCCACCAAGCTTAACTAAAAAGTAATGAGCTAGTTAACTAAAATACAATATATTTCACTGCATTTAATAAATTAAAGTTTATAACAATTAATTAAATTAAAATGTTAATAGAAAGTTATATTAAATAATCGAACCTATTGGAAAGAAAACGACAATAAGTACACGCTAATCTATTTAATATTAATATTAAAAGTTTAAGATAATTTTAATATATTAATTATATAGATAGTAAAAATTATCATGATTCATGACCGAACAATTTGTTGTCGTTAATAATAGACTTGTACTTAAATAAAAGTAATATATATTAATTAATTATGTTAGTTTCTTTACCATTCATTTTTAAAAGGTCACTTATATTATATGGGAGGGCGATAAAAACTTACGATGGATGATATTTTGGTTATTCGGATAGTTATTTTATTATTAATTTTTTTTTTTTTGAGGTCTCGGATAATTATTTGTTGAATTTTAGAAAGTACAACATTTGTAAAATAAACCTGAGTATTTAATATATATCACAAAATACTTAAAGAAAACAACTATTGGCAAAAGCAATTTAATTTTATGTCCTTATTTAATAGTCATTCTGTTTTAATTATGTTTGTTTATTTGCACATGGTTTGTTTCTCRWGATTTAAAAATATTCTTACAAAAAAAGATTTTAAAATTCTTAGTCAAATGTAACAAAATAAAATTCAAAAAGAAAAAATTACAGCTACTTTGTTTTTATGTTTATTATTATTTTTAATATGAATTTTAAAATAGACAGTAAAGTGTAAACAAGATATTGTCGGCAAAAAATCTCATAAAAGAACAAAACATAATAATAAGGAAAAGAAAAGAACAAAATATAATAATTATCAAATGTCCCAACCAGTTGTAAAATTTTATGATAACTTTTAAAAATTAAAATAAATAAATCTGAAGTAGGTCTTTTAGAAACAGTGCTTTCCAACGATTCTCACGTGTGGCGGGTTGAATTAAGATATATATATCTCCAATCAAAAAATCATAAATTTAAATCTTACATTCCTACTTTAAACCTGCACTCTTACATATTGTGAATCAGGACTCCTACATATTGTTGTACTAATAAAGCATCCGTGAAGTTCAATTAAGCTTTTGTTTGTACTAAAACAAACTTTTGTTTATTTAATCTTTATTGATTGAAAAACACATTTGGTCMCGTACTTTCATTAAAGTAACAATTTAGTCTCCGAACTTCACTTTATAATGACTTAGTCATTGTACTTTTCCTAAAGTAACAATTTAATCTATGAACTTTAACTTGTAACAATTTAGTCCCTATCGTAAAAAAATTTATTAAAATTAAGTGTCAAATTTCACCATATAACAATTTAATTTTTATAATTTATAAACATATTTGGTCAATCTTTAATTTATCAATCTATACATACGAGAAACTTAATAAAAAAAAATTTCATGATAAGGATTAGATCGTTATCAACTTTAAATTACAAACACTAAATTGTTACATATTAAAGTTCAAGGACTAAATTGTTACCAGTTTGAAAGTACATGGACTAAATCATTACAAAATTTTATCCACCACGGAAATTATTTATTACAAATTTATGCTACATTTCAAGAAATTTAGATAGTAAAACTCATGCTAAGATTGTGATGGAAAGAAATGAGATAAAAATAAAAATAAAAATACCAAAATGATCGCCTTTTTAAAATACACGGATCAAAACGGATGATTTGAAAGTATGTGGAATAAAATAAACAAAATTGAAAATAACAGCGAACCAAATTAAAAAATACAGAATCAGAATATTTATTAACCCTAAAATTAAATAATATTATATTTAGTAAAATATTTTCGAATCAATAGCTAATACCCAGAAAATAATTAATTTAAATTAAATATAAGACTCATCACAAAAGTGTTGTGTGTATATATATAAAGAAAAAAAAAGGATAGATTTTAGAATTGGCGTGGTGGCATATAAAACCCACAAGTGGGAGTATCATTCTTCATCTTGAGGTAGAAACACCAATCATTAAAAACAAATAAATGAATATAAAATAAAAATAAAAATAAAATAAACACATTCTTAAAGTTATAATATTTTTCAACTTGCTTTGAATTTAAGGTAGTCGGCAAAAGCAAACATATTCTTAGTAATATAATTATAACAAGTTTTTATTTTTTATTTTTTGGACATTTAATTATTACAAGTTTTAAAACTTGCTTTAAAACCAAGGTAGTTGAAAATTTTATTTAGATTTTAAGAAATCGTCTTCTTAAGGGCAGGAGTTAAAAATAAATAAACCTCAATTACCTGAAAGAAAATATAGGTTGAATTACAAATTTGTTCCACTTTTAAGATGATATCCGATATAAGTCTCTAAACTTTTAATTTTGTAGTGTGTTTTTTTGATAAATCTAACTTAAAAAAAGTATATCTATTAAATACTTTAACTTTTAATTTTGTATTGGTAAATCTCTAAACTAGTATTTAATAGGCTAGAGATCTATTAAATACAAAATTAGAAAGTTAGCGACTTAATAATATTCATGAGTATTCGGACCAGCTTTCGCTTGACCTTACAACATGAACCAACTTTATCGCTAAGGTATTGGCCATCATGGGATTTGAATTACTTCCCTCTCAATTTATTTTAACCCCTTTGAACCAATGAGGCACCAATTTCTCCAAATTTTCTAAATTTGAAAATTGATTATTTAAAATAATAAAAATTTAGAGCCTTTTTATGCATTATTTAAAAGGGTAATTGTAGCGGGTAGCAAAATTAATTTATGTATTTCAAAAAATATCAACAGCTTTTCAAAATTTTAAAGATAGCAAAATATTTGAATTTTTATTTTTGGATTTTTTATTATTCCAATTTTACCCTTATGATATCTGATATATATCCAATGTATATCTATATTTGATATATATCTAATGTATATCTGTATCTGATATACATTCAATCTATATCTGATATACATCTAATGTATCTCTGATATACTTTCAATATACATCAGATGTACCAATGATATACATTATCAGATGTATGTAATGTACCTCTAATATATATAAATAATTTGTGATATACTAAATATATTTGCAACTGATATACTAAATATAAGGTATATCAAATGTTTAATTTTCAGTATTCTAGTTTACCATTACAATTTGTTGATTGATATACTAATATTATTAAAAATGTTGATTACTATATCACTACCATTTATTTTATATTAATTAATTAGATACTAAATATAAGGGATATCAGTGGTATAAATAGTACATCAGATTTTTAACTTGTTTTTATTTTGGACGTACATTATCCACATCAACCTTTTATACAATAACTTTATATTTCAATTTTTTTTTTCACCATTGTTTTCATATGAAGAAATAGTGGGATATAATAATATTATATCAACACATATGTATCATAGTTATATTAGTAGATATCGTGGTTATAGCAAAGATAAATTAGAACCATATTAAGTATATATCAAATATATATCAGTGTTATATTAGTGGTAATTCATATAATCATATATAAGAAGTTATATTAGTGGATATCATAATTATATCAGTAGTATATCAATGGTAAATTAGAGACATATCAAGTATATATCACAGATATATAAATGTTGTATCGACGTGGTAAATCAATGGTTATCATACCTATATAAGTTGGTAAGCCATGTTAGAAATTTAGTGTATATCATAGTTATATCAAAAATAAATCAATTCTATATCATTATTATATTATTAGTATATCAGAGGCATATATCAGTAGCCATATATATTACAGATCTATATCAAATATATTGTAGAGTAAAATTGTAATTTTTAAATTGGACCTCTATTTTTTGTTTTAAAAAATACTATATTTGAAAAAACTAGATGTGGTTGCTATTTTTACTTATTTTATTAAATATTTTATCATATTTACAACTGCCCCTATTTAAAATTAAAATTTAAAAATCTATTAAGCACACTTCTAAAGAAAAAATCTAATAAACCCAAATTAGTGCTTTAAAAATGTGTCATCTGAGCATAAAAGTATTATAGTCTCGGACCAAAAAATTAGAGATTCAAATTCTACACAGAGACCAGAAAATTAGAGGTTTAAATCCCACACCGGGATGGAAAAAAAAAAAGGACTCCAAGGTTAAATACCCAGAGTTTTTTTTTTCTTTTTTTCTTTTTTAGTTTCCAAATTTTTGTTCAAGAAATATAGTCAAATATGTGATTTTGTTGCGAGACAAAATTGTTCTGAAATCAGCTCTCAAACAAAAAAGTGGTTCAATGGGCGAGTCAAACACATCATGGTTTATTATACTTTTGAAATGGAGAAACTAGAAATAAAATCAACAAGAACTTTGGTGTCCTTAAATCATTGGAAGTTGTCCCTAAAACATTAATTTGCAAGAATATATGTGGCTTTTCATTAATAACACTATCAGTATCATAGTACAGGGAAAACTGAACAGCAGCCTCTGAAGAAGGGAAGAAAAATGAATTACACCCAAAGGCCTAGATATGAGATCATGATACACTGCCTAATTAGGAAGTAACATTGCCATAAAACTGAAACTTTGAATAACCAAAAAAAAAAAAAAAAGAATTGTCTAACCTCTCGCCGGCGTGGAGTGGGAATTGGGGTGGTGATTATATGGGGCTGCCTCTAAGCAATTGCATACTTGAGTGTTTCGGCCTCGCTCGGTCGCCACATTGACTTCTGAACGCACAGCAATCCTTCATTGTCTTTGAAATAAGTAAACCGGATCTCCCATTTCATCGACTTGAACATGTTCTCGAGCTCATTGACCGTTTCGGCGTTGTCCCGAACGATAACCTTTCCTTCTGGCCTGAGGATTCGATCGGTCTCTGCTACTACAGCTGCTAGATTGCACCTGTATGTCGACCGAGTATGGCATGAACAAAGAGCATACATTGGGAGCCTAAAGCAACCTAGTGTGTACTAGGAAGAAATTTGTGTAGAATGATGAAAATTTAAGGTCTAACCTCTTTTTGATCTTGGAGTAAAGATGGTCTGCATGAAGAAGATCGTAAGTCCTTGGATAGGTGTTGAATGATTCGCACCAATCGTGATATATACCAAATAAACCTCGTTCGAAGATTATTGGTAGAGTGTCGGCTGAGTCTATTGAGACAACATTCATAACCCAGACCTTCAAATCTTTCAATGCAGCAGCAAATCTGTTGAGAAAAGTGAAAAACCATTCACATATTACTCAGAAAAATACAAGTACTTAAAGTGACCAAAGTAGATTTACCGATAGTGTATTCATCCTTTCAACACGCTTTGTAGTAATATATCTCACAGCCTAATGTTTGTTTTACTCAACACAACTCGACTGATAAATTCCAATACTACTGGAGTACCATACTCCAGTTTTACCTATATAAATAATTTTTAATGTTGGTGGACTTCTCATCATTTTAAATATGATACTGACACGACAGGCTGTGAATGGACAGGCTGTGAATGGAAAGAATATTTCTAATCTCATAGTACTAGAAAATTTTTCCTAGGATGACAATTAGACAGGTTATGAAGATGACTGAATAGAATTTATTGCCAATGGTCAGAAAAAGAATAGCTGTCTTGATGCATATTACCCTCCATAGACAGCCCTCATGTCCATGGCATTTCGCACTGTTGACCAGTCAATTCCCATGCCATTTAGATATGACTTTGTCACAACACGTTTCCAGTGATTGTTATCTACAGTATAATCCTCGGGAGCAGATCTTCCATAAACTCCAACTTGAGAGTCCAACAACCAGTAAGGTGGTTTCTCCACCCTTGACGGCCATTGCTCCGGCCATTTAGAACCACGTTCTGATGCATTTGTCGAGATTTTGTGCATGCATGCCTCGAGTGGCACATTCCTGCAGATAGTTTGAACAAATTCAGTTGCACTACCTACGAACGTATAATTTCTTTCTAATAAATCACATAGACTGAATTTGGAGGAAGAATCTATCATGGTCTTATATTCTAAATGCGTCAAAGCTTTGTGATTTCTTCTTTCCAGAAATAAGAATAGAACGAACTAACAAGCATATATAAAGGAGAATGATTCTGGACTAAAGGCTCTCTATTTACTGAATCCTTTTCCCAGAAATTGGATCTTGGAAAAGATAAAAGCATAAATTTGTAAACTGGGGAAACTACAATCATAAAAGATAAGTACCAGGCTGCATTTGGATCATCTGAATCCGGGCAGAGAGGCGGCTCTTTTTCAGGTCTCTGCTCATAGCAATCATTATTAGTAGGTTTTCTATATATGGCTGCACTAACTCCATTTACCGAATCCTTGTTAATTGATACAAGTTCCCAGCACATTGCTTTCGTCAATTCCTTCATGGCTGCAAATAGTTCCGAAGATGGAAAGCTGTTAGAACATCTAAATCTTGAAGCTCTCTTGTTTTATATGTACATTACATTTGTAGATTAAATTTAATAAGGATCATAAGGTGTTAGGTTTAGAAGTCACCCACCATTCCATATTCCGACATCTTCAGCATTCTTCTGATAGACTGGTGTAGCAGACCACACAAAGAAGCCACCGGGCCGCAACAAACGATTCAGCTCCAGCAGAAGTTTACCACCTGCACAGTTTCTTCAGAAGTGAACATCGAAACTCGAGGTATTGACAAAATAGTTAAATTGAGTCACTGTTATAATGAAATTGAAGTCTGTTCACTACATGATATATCAAAATTAATTGCGGTCCCAAACAATTGAGCATAAACGTACTAACAATCACATTACCTTCTATGTGCCATGGTACTCTACAACGAGCACAGTGGACAAGATCAAAAACTCTTCCTGGGTAAGGAAGTCTTTTCGTGCCCATAACAGCAGATATAGCAGGAATTCCCCTCTCAAGTGCAAACTGGACTTGTGCTTCATGTTCATCTTTTGGGGCCAATGACATGGTTAGCACATCTCTTTCAAACAGAAACCCTCCAAAGCTTGCCACCCCACATCCAACATCCAGAATTACACGTGATCGTTTACCCCAAGCAATATCATTAACAGACTGCATCATTAAAATGGTACTAGTAAGAAAAATTGTATATTTGTTTAGGTTGTCAAGCATAAATTACAGAGCATTGTTCTTCACTTCAATAGGTCTAGAGACCAGATTCTGCAGCTATTTTAAGATTGCATGAAGTTCTATTCATCAAAAAGAAGAATAACAAATTCAGCTACATTATTTTTAAATAGAACTGCAGTATATATATATATATATATATATATATAAAATCCAATGAAGTAACGGCAAAAATAGCAAATCAGAAACGATCATATATACACCAGTAGCTTCATTGGTAAAATTTTTCTGAGGTAACTGGTAACTATATCAATTATCATTAGCTCCATTAAGTAATTAAAAAACTTGAAATAGAAATAAGTTCGATTTCAAATAAGCCCCTCAGACCAGAGTAGTTCAAATGTAAAACTATTTTCGTTTGGTCATGTCATAATTGCAATTCTTTATGGAAAAACAGAGAAAGGTTCTATTGACCAATCGAAAAGGAGGACAAATAAACAGTGAGGTTCAATATCCAGTGTATTGCCACCTAGAATGCAATTAATAAACTTAAACATCAAATATATAAGTGGTGGAGGACATTAATCACATGAAAGACATGAGATCATCATTACAATGCAAGATCTAAAAAGTATACAGATGCGTTGAGTATCAAAATACAATAAAGATGCTAATACGCAAACTATGAGCAACATAATATACAAACAGGAGCTCAGATAAAAGAATGCTACCTCTTGTATGAAGTCAATGTAGTGAAGAGCCCCGTGCTTGAATTGGGTCCCACCACCAGGAAATGTTAAGTATTCACCAGAAACTTTTACCCAATTCTGATGCCCCTTAACCTCAGCAAGTTTTGTGTGGGGAACATTATAGTACCATATCTGCAGGAATACACTCAATTAGACCATCAAATAAAGGGGAAAAAAACGACAATTAAAAAATGAACTTATAGCAAAAACGTATTTTCTGAAGAAAAGTAAATTAAATCTCTTCAACCTTTTCCCTGCTTGTCGGCCATGGAATTGAGCGTCTATATCCCTCTGGAAGTGAAACAAGGCAGGTTGGAGGTTCTTCAGGGCAATGCCTCTCACGATGTTCATAATGTTTTGTACTTCGAAGACTCCTAATTGCTTGCAAGTTATCAAGGCAAGGTATGTAATCTGAGCCAGCAGTAACATTGCAAATTTTCCACTCATACCCAGATTGTTTCGTGGAAGATCTTTGAGTCTCTTTTTCATTCTTTGACTCTGCTGCCTGAGTCGACCATGCCCCATTTTGTTGAGATGTTTCATTCAAAAGCTCCGACTGGGCACCAGAAGGAAATACCTCACCAGAGGTTGGGTTTTTGGATTGATTATTTTCAATTGTATCATCTTGCTCCCGTTTATCATTTTGCTCCCCTTTCTCCCCTTCCTGACCAGTCACGTTTTCTCCTTCTTTAGTACCATTTGAGTCATCTGATTTTTTCTCATTGTCATTTTTCTCTTCTGTATCATTTGAATTCGGTTGTTTCTCAGTAGAACTCTCCTCAGAATCTCCCTGTCCACCTGATCCATTGTCACCAGCCTCTGGCTTAGCTTCAGAATCTGGTTCTCCATTTTCCTCCTTAGAGTCACCACTTTCTGTTTTTCTGTCATCTTCTGGCTTAGTTTCTTCATTCCCTCCATTCTTGTCCTCATTTTGTTGCTCTGGCTTATCCTCAGGCTTTTCTTCCGGCTTCTCTTCTGGATTCTCTTCTGGCTTCTCTTCAGGCTTTTCTTCCAGCTTCTCCTCGGGCTTCTCTTCAGGCTTCTCCTCGGGCTTCTCTTCAGGCTTCTCCTCGGGCTTCTCTTCAGGCTTCTCCTCGGGCTTCTCTTCCTGGCTTTCCTGCTGATTAGAACCTTCATTGCTATCCCCCTTCCTTGCATCATCAGGCAAATCTCCTGGATTATCTTCAAAAGGCTGAGTCTTGCCCTCATTGCTCTCAATCACTTGATCTTTTGCCTGATTTTTGTTCTCCTGTGGCACATCAATATTTTGAACTGGAACTACAGATGATGATGTTAACATCCATATCCCAACCAAGCACAAAGCCACAAATACTACAATGGTCACTGTTGAGCAGTAACTCGATGAGGACCTCCGGTTGTCTACTCTCGAATACTTCCCTAATGCCATGTCTACTTGTAAAATTATATCCTACAGAGTTTTCACCTGCGAATGGAAAGGGTATAGATATAATTGTCATGAAAACGTATTAATTAGCTGAATAGACAAAGATCACCGACAATATTCATTAATACCAGCAAAAGGTATCATGAAAAGTGAAACTTGGTCCATAAAAGCCGTTCAAACATCAACGTCAAACAAACAGTTAGAAGTTCCAGACAATTAGAAATTCAAATTGAGAAAAATTTAACACAAACCTGATAGAGCATTGAGTAAAGACATTCGACAAAATGATATCACTATTCAAAGCACAAATACTGCAATCAAACACTCAATGAAATCTAGACATAGACAAGGAGGACCAGGCAAATCCATCCGGCATACATTAAACCATATCATACAACGATTCACTGCGATTCAACAAAGATTACCCGCGTAAACTAATCCAAAAATCACGTAATGTTTGAAGAAAAAAAATAACATATATCATTGACGTACAAGGAAACACAGCAACAATGTATAAGAACTCCCTCAGATCTGCACCAAAACGGCACAAAAATCAATAAATCAGACAGCAATGCCAACCAAAATCCAACAAAAACAAAAGAAAAAGCAACAAGGAGCTAACATTTGCTAGAAGCAAAATTAGATCTACATCAAAAACACGCGCGAAAATAGATAAACAACACAAAACCGGAAGAGAAAGCAGTAATCAGAGCATGAATGGCGCAAAACCAAAGAATGACCGAATGGTGAATGAGATCTGAGCGATCTAAACCAGCCGACAGAAAACGCAGCGCCATAGCCTACCTCAGAAAGAACAGATCTAAAGAGAGAAGAAGCCACAAAAATTGCGAACTATTCCTCCATTTCTCTCGTACATTCGGAACAGAGGATGAAATGTAATGGCCGAGAGAATGATGGGGGTGGAGATTTAATAGAAATAGAGAGAGAGAGAGAGAGGATTATAGCTGGTGAAGCTCAGGGGGTAATTAATTAATTAAATACTTGATTTAAATGTTGTAATTAAAATGATTTAATTTGGAATATAATTACTTTTTTGGATAGTGTCCGAAAACACCGACCTTATGTAATAAAAAACACGCGGCGAGGAGGAGAGAGAGAGACGCGAGTTCCGCGGTGAAGTGAAATCTGAGAGGAGAGAGAGAGCGCGTGCGCGTGAAGAACACACGCGGTAGATGAATGACAGATGGCATTTTATCATTGAGTGGAATATTTTTTATTTTTTATTTCTTTCTCTTATTTATCGTAAGGTGGCACTGAGATCTCGATCTCCCTCCTCTGGAAGACGTGACGGCGACTCTGGATCTACGCGGTTGAAAATTTAAATTTATCGTCAAATTAGCAATTTTTAATTTTTAATTTTTAATTTCTTCTCTTGTTTATGGTGATAATTTGTTCAATCACAAATTTCGTCTTTAAATTTACAAAATGCATAATTTCTTTGTGTGTAATAAATCTCTTTACTTTAAACCGGTCTCTAGTAAAATTCTGGAGATTTTAAAATTCGTGAAATTATGATATTGAAATTTAGAGATTTGTACAACATTTTAAGATTTATAGATTTATTATAGACCAAATTTATAATTTAATATACATATTTTTTAAATTATTTTTGTTTTTTTTATTGTTTACTTTTAGTTTATCTTTTTAATTCATAAATAATCTTCCTTTTAAAACATTCCTCTCCTTTTCTTTTCTTTTGAATTATAAGATTTCTTTTTTAAGGATCTTTTGTTTTTCTTAAAGATATTGTTTGTGAACATGAAAAGGACACTTTTATCCAAGCTAACATTAATCATAATTTAGTAGTTAACATTTATTTAGGTCCGAAGTTGAAATCTTAATTTCCATCTTTATTGTACTTAAAATTAAAACTTATAAGAATCCAAACTATAATTATCAAACTACCACATCAATACAAATGACAAAATTTCCTATCCGTACCACTTCTTTCATATTTAGTTGTTTGAATTACAAAATTCAAGTAATACTAAAAAAATTACAAATTTCAAACTTTACTTTTCTGGTTGTGTGGTTGGGTTAATGAAAATATTTTTGGTGTTTCAAAGAAGAAAAAAAGGTTTTCCCGAAATAAAAAAAAGGGTAATACTTTGGCTATTAAGTAATGAGCCTTCTAGCTACCATTCGACCCTGAAACATTTTTCTCTAACAATTAAATTAAAGGTCAATTTGCATGTAATGGTTGTATTAATATAATGGATATATGTTATAAATTCTCAAATGAACATAGGTGTGTGAAACCCTAACTTAATTACAATCTTTATAACATTCAAATCCTTTAGAATCGATCTTAAAGTTGGTTAGATCACAAAATGTCGTATGCATTGATAGTCTAAGAACAAAAATAATTTATTGATTCAAGATTCTAACATTGGAATGAACATGATGATCAATCAACCTACTTAAAAGTTCAAAGAGTTTTTTCATTAAAGGCACACATTTTATTCATTTGCGTGGTTTGAAAACTTATTTAGTCGTTTCATGTTTGCTCGTCAATTTGGCTTTCGTAAAGAATATCTCTATTTCGAGTATGCTATAGGAGCTTGAATGTACAATGTAGGTTTGAGTCTTGGTTCAATGATCTTGTTCTTAAACTTGCGGTACTTGATCCTTTAGGATGGTGTCGATCAATTCTTAAAGCTTTAGCTTAGCTTCGTGGTTCATATCATCATAAGTAACAATATAGTACATGTTTATATAGCCTTTATAAGTCTAGTAATAAAGTATTGTTTGTTTAGTTAAAATTTTTAATTAATTTAATTAATTAATCAAATATAACAAACATTGGTATAGTTTTTTGGCTACTTAGGTCTTGCTAATGATTCATAAAATTAGGATAAGACTTTTTTTTAGTTCAAATAAGGAGACATAATTTGAATGTGAGACTGTTAGAATTTTATTCCTAACATGTTAATGACTTCTATGTTGAAATTTTTGTTTTAAAATATGAAGTTTCCAAATGGATAAAATCCAGTAATAATAATAAATAATAACAAAAAAAAGATTTTTGATCGATTATTTAATTGTTTGAAAAAAATGTTTCTGGCGGAATGGTAGGCTTTAATTGTAGAGGGCTCATTACTTAATAGTCCATGGTCTAAAATTTAGCCACCACCTAAAATTATACGAGAAAAGTGAAATTTACACGTTAGAGAAAGGAGTAAGGAAAATAGATCAAAATCTTGAGAAGAGAGAATGGTAGAAGGCATCGAAATATATATTTCTTTTCCAACTTGTAGAATAGAATATCATCTAGTTTCAAATTCGAAGTGATATTCTTAGCTATTAGATCCTATACCATTTAGAGTAAATCAATTTCATCCAATAAATAGAACAATGAATATTTGAACCTACCACCTAAAATAAAATAAATAAAATATCTTAAATCGCTACCTGTGCTCATGTTGACGACCATCTAAATACTAAATACTTACCAATGCAGTCAACTACGTACCTACTTTACCTTATGAATTAAAATAAGTCATCCTCTATAGATCTCATATATATGCTACCATGAGCATATTTTTACTTCGGCCATTCAATTTTTTTGATGTTGTAAGATTTTTGTTAAGTTTTCCTGCAGTAAATTATTGGACAAGGCAGTAGATTTTCAGCATCGACCACAAATTATGGAATTTGACTTTAGTTGCAATTCTTCCCAAGGATATTGATGAAATAATATATAGGACATGATTTCCTTTAAATAATCACCAACCAATCACGTCTCATATTCACACCCCTCCTAAAAGATTTTTTTAATCTCAAATTAAAAGATATTGTATTATTTATTTTTTAGTATGACGTGATATGYGGAGGGTTCAAACGCAAAACTTTTGGTAGAGATTCGAACTCAAAATTTTTTGTCAGAGATATATATCTTAATCAGTTGAGACGTTTTGATTGACAAAGGATATTGTATTATTTATCCCATCAAGTCTAACACAAAAAAATTAATATTTTTAAGAGTTTTTTATTTAATAAAATATTATAGACCTCAATATTATTAAAATTTCTTTTTTTCTTTTTAAACTTGCAAGCGAAATAAAACAATATTTGATGTAAATAAAATAATGTTTAAAGAATCTGTCCACTCTATTTAAAAAAAATAATAAATAAAGAAACCGTCCATTCAAATATACGTTGCCTTTTTTGGGAAGTTCGAAATAGGTAATTTTTCCCACAAAATACGAATTTGACTAATTAAAAATCTTAAAGTTTAAATAATAGGTAATTTTAACTTTGGTTTATTTTGGTCTCTACATTTTTAAAAGATATTTTGTCCTCTAGTTCCTTTTAATTCTTGTATTTCAAAAATATTCATAAATTTTACCTACCAATAATAACTTTTTAATACAAATTTATGACTACATTAAAAAATAAATCTAATGATTAAAATATCGTGTTAAAAATATAATAAAAAATAAGATAAAAGATAAAAAGAAATAGTCCCTCTTATTAATGTAGATATCAAAATAAATATTTTGAGAGCAGTGAAGAACTAAAATTGAAAATATTGGATTAAATTAACGAAACCTAAAAGAACAAAAATCAAAGGTTGAAAACCGCAACCAATTCTGAGTAAAAATACTATTCTTTTTTGATAAAACGAAAATACTGTTTAAACCATTTTTAATATAATAAGATAAAAGTCATATAAAAATTCTGCGAAATTGAGTTCTTCGTCTTCCGAAGGCGGAGAGAGAGATATTATTTAATTTTTTTTTTTTTGAGTAAATATCGTAAATACCCAAATTATGGGTCACGTCACGAGTTGTGAAAGAAAGACATAAAGAGGAAACTTCGGAGTAACGCTCTCTGTTGTTCTTCTTGCTCAAAGTTTTACTACTGTAACTCATGAGCGTTGAGAGCAGATTCTAGATGATGCGGTTGCAGTTTGTTGAAGTTTAAAGAATTCGCGAAGGTATGCAGTTCTTTTCAGGACATTGATTTAGCAGAATGTTGGATGCTTTTGAGTTACTAATTAGATATCAAAGTTCGATTCGATTACTGCTCTTGATTTGTAGTTGAAATGGAAGTAATGGTAGCTTGACTTGTGATATTTCCGATTGCACCCTTTGATTTTGATGAAGGTTTTATTGTTGAACTTGCCATCATGTATAATTTGTTGGTCAAACGACTTTATGCCTGCTGTGTTTGGGCCTGTTAAATTTCCTGGATCCTTGTAATGGGACGGGAGTTCTTCGCTCTAACGAGATTTTTTATCAAGTCCTTGAGTTTCGTCAACTGCTGGTGCTGAAAACTGTCCATAGAGTGGGGTCAATTTGTATCGATACCATTCCTGTCCTACTTGGTAACTTTTGAGTGTGAACGGACAATCTTCAATGTAATAGTTGAGCGTTGCAACGTTAGCGATTCAATTTATTTACTAATCTTCTCATTGTGTGTTTTTATTGAGGATTACAATTGCTTGATTGTTCTTCTATAATGTTCTACCAGGTGTCTAATATATTCAATCGGGCCCATCGATAGAAGTTTCCTAATTAGCCACAAACCTTATTTGCTTCTTCTAGATTGCTATACCGATCTAAAATGGTGCCTCTAGCTGATATTTTCCCGGCCTTTGATCACTGTGCTCGTCTCATTTCAAAATGCATCAAACACAAACACTTAAAGGTTGGTATGTCCTTGCACTCCCACCTTATCAAAACCGCACTCTCATATGACCTCTTCCTTGCAAACCGTCTTATCGACATGTATTCCAAATGTAATTCTATGGAAAATGCACAGAAGGCATTTGATGATTTACCCATTAGAAATGTTCACTCTTGGAATACCATTCTTGCCTTGTACACACGCATTGGATGTTTGAGTCAAGCTCGTAAGTTCTTTGATGAAATGCCTCATCCAAATATCATTAGCTACAATACCTTGATTTATAGCTTTACTCGCCATGGGTTGTATGTAGAATCAATGAATATCTTTCGAAAAATGCAACAAGATTTTGATCTTTTAGTCTTGGACGAGTTTACTCTTGTGAGTATAGCGGGTACTTGTGCTTGTTTGGGTGCTCTGGCACTGTTGCGTCAGATTCATGGAGCAGCTATTGTCATTGGATTGGAGTTTAATGTGATTGTTTCCAATGCTATTATTGATGCTTATGGCAAATGTGGTGAACCAGATACGTCATACTCTATTTTCAGTCAGATGCAGGAGAGAGATGTTGTTACCTGGACCTCAATGGTTGTAGCATATGCTCAGACATCCAGGTTAGATGATGCTTTTCGTGTGTTCAGTTGTATGCCGATGAAAAATGTCCATACTTGGACTGCTTTGATTAATGCTTTTGCAAAAAACAAGTATAGCAATGAGGCCCTGGATTTGTTTGAACAAATGCTGGAGGAGAAAATTTCTCTTAATTCTTTCACATTTGTAGGTGTTTTAAGTGCTTGTGCAGATCTTGCTTTGATAGCAAAAGGCAAACAGATTCATGGACTCATAATCAGAAGTAGCTGTAGCCTTAATTTTCTGAACGTATACATATATAATGCCTTAATTGATATGTACAGTAAGAGTGGTGACATGAAATCAGCTAGGACGTTGTTTAATTTGATGCCTGAAAAGGATGTAGTGTCGTGGAATTCATTGATAACTGGGTTTGCCCAGAATGGGCTTGGAAAGGAAGCACTTATTGCCTTTAGAAGGATGATAGAAGTAGGGATAAGGCCTAATAAAGTGACGTTTCTTGGTGTGCTGTCTGCCTGTTCCCATACTGGTTTGTTATCTGAAGGGTTATATCTTCTGGAGTTAATGGAAAAGTTTTTTGGTATTAAGCCTAGTTTAGATCATTATGCAGTTTTGATTGATATGTTTGGAAGAAAAAATAGACTTGCAGAAGCATTGGATTTAATAGCTAGAGCACCCAATCGATCAAACCACGTTGGAATATGGGGTGCAGTTTTGGGGGCTTGTCGAATGCATGAAAATTTGGATCTGGCTATGAGTGCTGCAGAAACTTTGTTTGAGATGGAGCCAGATAATGCCGGAAGGTATGTGATGTTAGCTAATATATTTGCTGCAGCAAGTAGATGGATGGATGCCCATAATGTGAGAAAACTTATGGAGGAAAGAGGTTTCAAGAAGGAAGTAGCATATAGCTGCATAGAAATAAGAAATAGAGGACATAAGTTTGTGGCAAGAGATAACTCCCATAGTCAGATGGGCGAGATATATGAGCTAATGTTTATACTACTAGATCATATGAAAAATTTTGGTTGCATGCCCTTTGACAACGGTATTTACTTTTATGATGGATATGGTATTTGAACTTTGAGCATGATCTATTTGGATCCCGTGGCTCAGTGTTGCAATTGTATGACATTGGAAAAGTTAGCAATTTTTAGGAATGAAATTGAGGATATGAAAGCTGGAAGATGAAGCTAGAAAGCTCAAGAGGACAGAATGCCATCAAGTAGGAGGTCTTTCTATTTTATTTTTTCCATACCATATTTATGTGATGTAAAACAATTTGGTGAAGTGCACTAGTATAAATTTTTTAATTTTGATCTTAAAGTTATTATCAAGTCCCACTGAAAATAAACAGATATTCAGGTAAGGTATTAATGAGTTAATTATAGTTTTTAGCCCCACAAGCACACCCAATCAAGCAATGTTTAAAAGTGTTATGGTTTGCATCTTTGAACTCTTGTTGGTCAACATAATCTGTTGTCATATGGATGAAACTTAGAACTAAATTAAGAAAATCTGTTGACACTTTTGTTCCTTAGGCATAATCGGGAGCATGGCCTTCCCCTTCTTCTTTAAGAAACTAAGCCCCAAATATTTAATGGATGCTCATTAGATTGTTTGTGTTTTAATTATAGAACCACTTTCAGTTAATGAGTATAGTAGCCTTTTTTTAAATCCAAAATAGCCTCTTTTTTTTTAATCCAAAATCTTCCTAGTAATTTATCCTGGAAGTGTTCGATCATGGAATAACAATCTCTCTCTCCAATTAGATAGAAATGCAATTGAATTTTTTTATTTTAATATAAAATGCTATTTTGGTTGCATACGTTAATACTTGATGAATATTTCTTGGTCAGACGCATGTTGTTTTGATTAAGAGATATCTCCTACGAAACGTGACTCCTGGGGTTCTTCATTTTTCTGCTCTTCTTTCTGTATTGGCGATTCTGATCATTACTTCCTTTCTGTAATCCTCTAGGAAGAATACTGTACTGGAACTGGAGAAATGATGAAGTTCGACTGTTCTTAATCTAGACAGAAAAATTTGAAGGTGCAAGGTCTGTCTTATGAATTAGTGTGCAGAGATGAAAGTCAGAAGTAATTTCTCCTTGAAACAGAAACATCTTTCCTTTGTCGTGGTTGCTCTTGTATTCACTGCCTTGGTTTTGTGGGCCTGGGAGGAAAATCCTTTTCTTACGACTTCTCAATCAGTTCAAGCGTGGTACAGAACTTCAAATGCAGGTATGCTTGCCAATTCCTGTTTATAAATGTAGAGCAGGTCCAAGCTGTAATTAGCCTAGTTCTTGGCATTCTTCATTGTTCTCTTCTCGTTGGAACTATTAGATTTCTGAATTTAGGAGTACATTTATTTTTGATGAGAGACACAAAGTTAATTGAAGAAAAGGGAAATTTGCAGGGTTAAACAAACTAAGATATATATATCATTTGGCTCTTGAAATATACACAACTTTCAAATTTTCCCATATTTTTATTTTCAATTTTACTGTCAACGTTTAGAAAATTTTCCGATCAAATTACTACTAAATAACGCTGTTGAAATTGCATTGATAAATGGTGGCATAGCATTTAAAAAGTATTATCTTCTATGAATAGATAAGTTTTTAATGAAACTTCTATCCCACTCTACCCAAATTAGAAAATCTAATTGGCCTTACCTAAACTAAAATTTACTTGATAAAACCTCATTCCTTTTAGAGTTTTACGTTCTCCTTCTTATTCATACAATTCTCTTCATTTCTCCGTTCGTGCAATGTTTTTTCTTTGTTATCGGGTGGATTTTCTGTTTTAAAATCACGCATGGTTGGTTAGATTTTAATGGAAAAGGGTTGGGTAAACATTTAATATTAAGAAAATTTCAACTCAAAAAATAGTATTTTTATTACAATGCTTCAGTACCATTACAATATATATATATATATTTTTTTGATAAGAAGTATAAAATGATTTTTATATATACATATATATTTATTTATTATTATTTTTAATAAGAAACAATATTAAATTTCGAATTGGAAAATTGTGATACTTCCAGAGTGAAATTGAAAATGTTAAAATAGGCAATATATGAAATGGTTCATGACATGTAATGAATTTTGTTAAATGTTGAAAAATATTCAAATTCAGTTTGTTTGTTTTCTTGCTATTCGTGTACCTTGCTGATTATTTTTATTTCTTTAGGGTTCATCGTAGGTTCCGTAAACAATTCTGCATTACCTAACACAAGAAAGGAGAATACTGCAGAAACATATTCAAATTTAAGTACAAAAGAACAGATAGTAAAAGATGATGCACATTCAGAAGTTACACCGACAGATTTTGCATCCAAATTTCCCAACAGGAACAAGAGTAATGAGAATGGTAAGTACTCAGCCTAAACTAGTGTTACTGTTTTCTAATGTTTTCTGGTACTCTACTTGCTGCTGCATTTTCTTTTCAAAATTGTCGATGGCTTACAGTTTTTACATTTGTAGTACCCTACAATTGATTAACCTTTAGGACTTTGATTCTTACTACTAAAAAAAATATCTCTCAGTAGATTCACAATTCAAACTTGCGAATCTAGACTCCCATGCCATACACATTCTGAATTTCCACCAAATGAATGTCCTCACCAGCACTGTTCCTGCATATGTTAGAATTCAGAGTTATTTTCGTAGTTCATACTAGTTGATTCTAAGGTTGTTTAATCCTTAAAACTTTGAAGCCTGCAGCTATGCTAATGGTGAATGGGTCCCAGACAACAGTCAGCCGCTATACTCTGGTTTTGGATGTAAGCGATGGTTATCAGCAATGTGGGCATGTAGACTGACCCAGCGTCCAGATTTTTCATATGAGAGATATCGTTGGGTTCCCAAAGATTGTGAAATGCCACCGTTCGAGCGGTCTAAATTCCTGCAAAGGTAGTTTGGCTTCCCACTTGCTTTTTGCATATATTAAGTTCGAAACCTTCTTCCCGTCTCCATGAGAGGAAGAAAACATTGCATGATGTAACTAACTCTACTATTAGTTAGTTTGGTAGTTAGCCTACTGTTAGTTAGTTTAGCAGTTAGCCTTTTCTGTTTTTTATCTCTCTTGTCAGTGGCTTTATTCCTATAAATAGGAGGCCCTTTGTATAATTTAATTCATTCAATCATTCTAATAAGATTTGAATTCCTAAACCACACCATAGCATTATCCAGATTTTTCTTCCGCAAGTATTTGATCCTTGACAAAATCTGCCATCTCTCTATTTGGCCAAAACAGGGTCGCACTTATTTTTTAAAATCAAGGATGCGTGATACATTAAGCTTTAACAGACATTTTTCTCTAGATTTGTAAGATTTGAAAAAATAAATCGTTGATTAATGGAGATAATAGACATGCATATAATATGGATTTTTTTATTACTAATAATAACCTATAGTACGTTTTCTTAGAATTCAGGACACAAGTACACAGAGGAGGTATAACTGATAAAACAGATCTTGTTCAAGTAAATTGTCATAGCCTATAGTACGTTTGGGATGATAGTTCTCAAGCAAAACGAACTTGAAGCACCTAAAGTAGATGATATATAATTGTCTTGTTTTATATAGTTAACTGGTTTTAAAATATGCAACCAAACAAGTCCTACGGCTGCCACAAACTCTAAAATTCTAGTTACTTATGATCCAGAGGGTAGGCTGTCAAATTGCCTGCGAAGTGGTACTATTCAATGGGTTGTGATTTTAGCTATGTTGCTCTCTGCTATTCTTAGTTGACACTTATTAGTGATCTGAATCTGTTTCCAGAATGCAGGACAAAACCATTGCATTTATTGGCGATTCATTGGGAAGGCAGCAGTTTCAGTCTTTGATGTGTATGGCCACTGGTGGGGAAGAGAGCCCAGACGTTAAAGACGTAGGAAAGGAATATGGTCTTGTCAAAGCTAAGGGTGCTATTCGTCCAGATGGATGGGCGTATCGTTTCCCGAGCAGCAATACTACTATTTTGTACTATTGGTCATCAAGCCTCAGCGATTTATTGCCTTTGAACATCTCAGACCCAGCCACAGATGTAGCCATGCATCTTGACCGTCCACCAGCATTCCTGAGAAAGTTCCTCCATCTGTTTGATGTGTTGGTTCTCAATACTGGACATCACTGGAATAGGGGGAAAATCAGAGATAATAGGTGGGTAATGTACAAAGATGGAATTCGCAGTGAACTCGGGAACTTGAAAGAAATTGGCAGAGCTAAAAATTTTACAGTTCATAGTATTGTCAAATGGCTTGATTCGCAACTTCCCTCTCATCGTCGACTCAAGGCATTTTTTAGGACCCTGTCTCCTCGCCATTTCAGTAACGGGGAATGGAATACTGGCGGTAACTGTGACAATACCTCACCATTGTCTAGAGGAAGCAAAGTTGTGCAGAGTGGATCAAGTGATCCAGTTGTTGAGAGTGCTGTAAGAGGTACACAGGTAAAGATTTTGGATATAACTGCTCTTTCCCAGCTGAGGGATGAGGCTCACAAATCCCGGTACAATATCAAAGGAACTCCGGGCAGTAGCGATTGCTTGCATTGGTGTCTCCCCGGTATCCCGGATACATGGAACGAGATTCTTATTGCACAAATATAGGTTCTTTAATTTTGTCCTAAAAGTTCACTTTTGATACCCCTTCCTTGCAGTAATTGACCTGTGGGGAAGATTAAGGCTGGTTGAAGGAGAGATGGCATGGCATTGGTGTTGTTGATATTTGGTGGCGTTAGACAATTGTATAATCAGGTTCATATATCAATTACTGGTTCCATTTATCAATAAATGAAATTTGTGGTGCAGTTCCTCTGAACTTGTGTTGCATTCAGCTTGTTAGTTTCAATAATCTTAAAGAATTCTATTCAACATTAAACAAACATAATATAAAAAAGCTTCACTCAAAAATGAGTTGGCTGACCATAACTCACATTAATCATATCTAATAAAGTTATATTCTTCTTCTGCCACATCATTAGATTGAGGTAGATAAGGAGGGGTAACCTAATGAATTAAACCATGCCATCTACAAAATCTATTCATTTCTTCCATAGTACTCACGCCCTATTAGATCTTAAAACTTTTATTTTCTTTTATAATTGATTTTCTACCTCAACTTTATAAATTTTAAATTTGCTAAACACTTGATCTTTAGTGCTAAGTAAATAGACATGACGAGCGATCATCCACAAAAGTTACAAAATACATTTTTTCTCCAACACCATATTGACGTGACACGTTGACATTTAGATTAACAAGGGATGATTTAACACTATGTGACAACAAAGTAGCATGTACCTGAGAGTAGGTTAACTGAGTATAAAATAAAACATCGAGCAGGAAGGACAATAACTTTGATGGTTGGACGAGGAGCGATCCAGGAACGGAAGAGACGAAAAAACCAATATGGACACAAAATAGATTAAACATAGATAGCTTTTATTTTATTGTTCCATTATTTAGAAGTAGATAAAGAGTATAGGATACAACAAGTAAGATATCGATAAAAGAGCTAATTCCTTAATTCAAAACCATCAAACTTAGTTGAGACGCACAAAAGCTACGAGCTTCCACTCTTTCTTCGCTGGAATATCACACACGATAGCGCTATTAAACCCATTCATAATACATTTGAGGCCATTATTGGTCACCACAAGAAGGTTGTAGTAATTTTTGTTGTCAATGGATGACTCAACCATGAAACCACCCACAACTTTCTCGAAGATAAGATGTTCTCCACTTTTCTTGTCGTGCTCCATCACTGCAAACCTTCCCAGCTCTTGGACATATTGATCCTTAATATCAACAGGCTTCCAAGAGCCGATGACAATGTCCGACTGCGGACCTCCGAGAAGGACATTGTTTTGTCCTTGGACGACTGCTGCAGAACTCATCGTAACGTTTGGTTTGATAGAGCGTTCGAGAGAGACTTTGTTACTTACTGACTTGTGGTTTGCTCCGGATCGAATAGGAGTTCAGTGTTTCTATTTATAGGAGTGGTTGGGCTCTAGAAATTCATATCACAGAATATTTGTTGACCTAGAGTAATTTTGTGATGGAGCTCGATATCGTCGAATCTAACACGTGGACGTCGTCAAGAGAGGGCCAAAAGGAATCTTCATGGCTTTGGAGTTAGCTTTGAATATTATCATTAGGACCATTACTTTGCTGTACTCTTGATTGATACCAATGTTCTTTGTGTGGAATCTAAGTGTGTGGCTTGGGCACTATAACCTAACGTCCAATTCATCCTCTACCACTAGTTTTGCTTAAAAGAAAAATATTTCAGATGATCTTGGTTTTTGTGGCATGCATGAATCATGCGATCATACCTATTTAAAATTTGAGAATAAATAAAAACGATATAGAAGTATTTGATATCGTCGAATCTACTACATAAGAGAGACGATAAACTTTTGGAGATAACTTTCAAATTTGAATCTCATACAAATTATTCGAGATCATCACTAATTTGCTGTCTTAATCGAACAACATTCTTTACTTAAAAAGATGGTCCTTATTGAACAAAACCTTAACGGTTGAGTTTGTAAGGAAAATGCAAATCAAGTCTCACATTAACTAGCGTTGGACAATTATTTCCATTGATATGAGACATTTTGAGTAAAACAAAAATAAAGCCGTGAAAGTTATGTCCAAAATGACCAATATTATATCATTGTGGAGATACTTGAGGTACAAATGTACCTTATTAAAGTTGCTTATTAAAGTCGCAAAAGGAAATTGGCCGATCATCAAGTCCTCTTTTATGGAAGGGAAAAGATCGAGTAACTCATGATTTGATATCTTCAAAGTTCAAACGCATGATCATTCTCAATATAATTGTGCTAATTATTTATCAGTCATATTTTTTAATGTAAATATATTTTTGGTTGGGTACGTTTGAGTTATGAGAACAACTAGCTTTTTTGGATTTATAGATGCGTGTGTCTAATTCATTAAAATTAAAGCATAGATATTTTCAACTATATATGTATTTAAATGTCCTATTTGTCTATTCTTTAATAAATTTTAATGACTTTTAAAAATCATAATCTTTATTAAGGATCTCACCTTAAAAAAAGATAGGGGATCTAACAAAATTTATAATAGACATGAGTTACTCTCTCATAGTAAATTGGTTTTAAGATGTAACCCATGAATATTAATATGGTATAAGAGCCTAAAAGCTTAAACGAGCATCCGATCCAAAAAAAAAAAAGAATCCAACCAAGATCGATGAGTCAAAAAGAGCCGCGACCTAATATTAATAACCTTTATCACAACTCCCAAGTCAAAATTTATAAATGTTGTATGTTATTTTTATCTTTTTATTTACGGTAAAAGTGTCCAAAATAATTCTCCAAACATGCATGGTAATGATAAATCAAATGTAAAAAAATTAATATATTAATCTCCCATTGAATTTTAACAACGAATCTTAGAGTGCATAAAAAAGTGGTAAGAATAAGTTAGAATCCATCTTATATCTGCATAAAAAAGTGCACATATATGACTTGTTGACATTCTTAATCGGTTTCCATAGAGATCGATATTATTAAATCTTAACAATGTGGATCTTTTGAGCTACGCTTACGTTGGTATTGATGAGATAATTTGTATATACATATCTTATAACTACTCATCTAATTATTTTAGAATCATCGCTTTGATGTCTCAGTCAATGTCAAAATCAATCCTAATAAATTCTTTTTTTTGCGATTGAGAAATCAAGCTTAATACATATATTTTTTAAATACAACCTAACAATCTTTTTATTTGAAAATAGGTACTTTAATCCACTAAGTTAAAAGGTTATTAATTTTAATAATTGAGTCTTCCATTCGCAGAAAAGAAGTAAAAAAGAACTAAAGGCCAATGGTTAAGAGTTTTATGAGAAGTAAATGTCCACACACATTAATTACTAAAAAGAAAAAGCCAAATCAATAGACCAAATTAAGGAGCATAAGGTCTTAATGGGTTGGAGCATAATAATCGCATTTTCTCGGATACTTCAAGATCTTATTTCCACCTTTAGGATGATTGAAAGAATGAAATGGGCTACTCTTTGCATTGACAATTTGATTTTGAGATAAAACTCCATGAATATTAATATGGTATCAGAGTCTAAAAGCTCAAATGAACATCAAACTAATTGGTTTTAGATGGAACCCCATGAATATATTAATAACTATGATCATCTTTCGAATCTTTTAACCTTAAAAGAACTAGTACAAATAACCTTATTCATTGAGTTATACTTAGATTGAAGCAACTTTCCTTCTTGATAGCTTATAGATATGATGTCAACGTCAACAAAAATGTTGAAATCTCAACAAATTTATACAAATATATCAATAAAATTTCAATTTCGATGGACATGTATGGTATATAAATCAATAAATTCATAAAACCTAGTTAAATTTGTCACAAAATAACCAGTTTTCAAATTAAGAGCAATTAGGTCAATTTATCAAAACTATTTCTAATCTACACCTCTCAAATATCCTCACAAATGCATATGTACTCCCACAAAATTTCCTTACACAAATATTTTTCACTATTAATCCTCTAATAGAGAACATTTATAATTTTCTTTGACAACTTCTTTCTACGCATTTCTCACTTACCTAATTTTTCATTCTTTTACCGGGTCTCACTTTTTATTTTATTTTTTATTTTTAAGTACCATTCATTAAAAGTATGTGAGAAACATAAATACAAAAGGGAAATGCTACAAAAAAAGTATTTCAGAAAAGAAAATGGTAGCTCAATCAAAGGAAAGCATTCCAATTTCGAGAAATGGGAGCTATATTGTAATTACAAAAAAGTGGAGATTTTGAAGACCATGTTGATGTCGAACTCGTAATATCCTCCCAAAAATTAAGGAAGCTTTTAGAAGAATTCATAAATATACGATTGTTTCTCTCGAACCAAGATGTGCCAAAAAAGGATTGGCAACATTGCACCAAAGGATAATCCTTTGATTGGTAAGTGGAATTGAGAGATTGATGTGAATAAAATCACGATCAAAATATGGAGGTTGATTTTTATACCACTTGTATTGTATTGATTGGTCCAACATTACACTTTTGTTATTTTCCTTAGGCAAATATTTTCACTATTAATTCTCTAATAAGGAAAACATATATAATTTTCTTTGACCAACTTATTTCTCCACATTTCTACCCTTTTCTTTCTTTACCAGTTCCTCACTTCCCTTCCCTCTTACATTGTATTTGATGGTCTAATAATATTACACAAACTTTTATTATTTGATCTCACTTAACTTAGTTTTATAAACAATTTTTTTGGCAAAGGAAAGACAATGAGAAAGAACTAACCTGAGCATAGCTTAGGTGCTAATCGACATTACTCTGACCTCAATCTATATGAGTGAAGATATTGTTAGATACTCAATATATGAATTAAATTTATCTAATCCATAAGCTTAAGTTTTTTAGATTGAGCGGTAGTTTATTCATTCTATCAGAGCGAGAGGTTCTATATTCAACTCTATGCATTGCTTAATTTATCAAATCCATAAGGTTAAGTTTTCGGGTGAGCGGTATGTTCAACTTTAATAGGCACAAGATTAGAGAGAGGTAGATAGATAAGTAAATATTGTTTTATTTTATATATTATGGTGCCATATTATATTATTATTAGTAGATGATTAAGGACTTGGCTTATACAGCAGCATATGCTTAGTGCATATATAACATGTAATTATGTAGTAGTAGAGAGTACTAGAGGGGCAGAGTGGTCCACAATCAGTAGTGGAGAATTTCCTTGAAAGAAAGGAGCTTGAAGATGCCTGCAAATGCAATATCCAACACCTCAGTCTCATATGTCCAAGCAATTCCATCACTGTTTACGGCCTCCACCACAAGGTGCAGCTTCCATGCTTCGAATGGACAAATAATGGGAAGAAATGGCAGCCTCTGTCTAAGACCATTCACCACGCGAGTGAACTTCAGGTTCTCCCCAGTTTGGCTGTTATGCTCCATCACTGCACACCTTCCTGCCTCTTGCACCCTTGGATTGTTGATGTCCTTGATCGGTTCGGGCTTCGAATCGATACATATTTTGTTGTTCTTTAGGCCCTCGAGCAGGGCCGGGAGTTTCTCCTGAGCAGCCGCTACAGAAGTCATCGTATAGCCTTTGATAGATACTCTCTCGCGGTCGAAACTCGAGGATATACTTTGTAAGAGTTTGGTGATTTTTTGAGAGGAGTTCGTCCGACATTTATAGCTGTGGTTGGAGGACTCGAGAAATTGATATCGTGGAATCTAATTCGTTGGTGGGGCTAGGAGTTGGATATTTAAGGAATCTGACCATATACGTGGACATTATCTAGAGCGAGTTTCTGGGTATCAGAGTAGGAAGAGTCCTGTTTTTCGAACCATCTATTCTCATTTCCTTTTCACTTAATATTGTTTTTTGCTTGTTGGGGTTGCAAATTTTCCAAGTCTGAGGGAGTATTGTCAGGATATCTATTAAAAAATTAAATTTACCCCACCCCATATCAACTTATATTTTTAGGTTGATGGGTGATTTAACGTACATGAAGTTAAAGTTTTTTTTTTCTTTTTGGAGATAGCTTCGAATCATGATTTTGGAGATAGCTTCGAATCTAAATCAATTATTTGGGATCATGATTCTATACACTATCGTAATCGAATCGAACAATACCTTTATTGTGAGATCTAGGTTAGTGCATAGTTAAATATTAAAATTGACTTATCATTTATCTCCTCCGATCAATTCTATTTACAAATTAAAAGATAGTTCATTTTTTTTTTTAGTACAACATGTGAGGTTGGGATTCGAACTCTCAACCTCATAATTGGATAGATGTATCATAACCCGTTTAGCTATATTCGATCGGGTTGGTCAAAAGATAGTTCACTTGAAGCTCTGCATTAAATTTTGTAATGCCTGGGCTCCATCAACAAAAACTAGAATAGGACTAGGGCACTCTACCTAGACAATAGATCAATACCTAATCTAATCGTGGAACATTTCAGATTCATCAATTCCATTTAGGCATCACCAAATACTAAATGATATATATGTTTGGAACATATTAAGAGTGAGTAAATATATTCTTATAGAGGTGAGTCGACTGAGCGTAGGAAGGTGTTAGCACCCTACGACACCCGTTCGAAAAACGGTACCACATTTTGTCAAAAAAAGACTCGAACTTTTATTGTGATTATCAATATCCTAAGCTCTTGCCACTACACCAAGACCTTAGGATACAATTTAATTGCTTTTTTAAAATACAAACGTTTTATTTTTTGAATTTTAAACATTTTTTGAGATATTCAAAGATTTGAAATTGGGTCTTATATATTAAGAACCAAACATCTCACCACTATGCCAACATCCTAAGATGTGAACATAATATTCTTTTAAACAATAAAGTTTTTAATTTACTTTTAAAAACTAAAAAAACGAATTTTATTAAATTAAAACAAAAAAAATAAAAACAAAAATTTTATTTAATTCGAAATTAAAGAGATTTTTGAAAGAAAACTTTATTTCTTAATTCAACAAAATGTTTTATTTAAAATAGATTTTTATTTGTTGAGATTCCCCGAACAATAATTAACAAATTTAAAAAGATTTCAATCATGTATTTTTAAAAACTAAAAGATTATCTTCAAATCTTTTTACTTCCTCCTCTTAAATCTCTGCAGAAGATAATTTTTTTTAAAGAAAAATAATAATAAATAAATCAAATCTTTTTTTTTAAAGAAAAATAATAATAAATAAATCAAATCTTTATTAAAAAGAAGTATCCTGGATTTCACTGGGTTTTGCCACCAGAAGCAAGCCTATCGTCTCTACTCGCGCCGATCAAGCACACTGCCGTCTTTAGGAAGGAGAATAAAAATCGAGATCGATCGAGATAGATCGACCGACCAAACACGGAGACGTTACGTAGCTATCCCGCATATAGAATCGCCAATTCTGACGACGATGATGAAATTGAGGCGTGGAGGAGGAGTAGGCTAGAACACGATAATTGGTAAATTTGAGCGCGTATATGGAGGAATTTGAAGAAGATGAGAGAAGGAGAAGGTAGGAGAGGGATGAAAGCCTCACATTTCCTCTCTTTTTGTCTTCTGTGTGCCTCTATGTGTCCCTTAAATACACAAATAAAATAACAGTAACATGCGTGAGTTAAGTAAAACCAGAGAGAAAAAAAAGAAGGGAAAACTAAAGCATGACACCTGTAGAACCTTGACCAAGAAAAAATGAAAGGGAGTGAAAAAAACTGTTAATATCAAAAATAAAATCTTTATTTTTTAATTTGTAATTTTATTAATAAAATCAAAATCTTTAAAAGAAAATTTTTTTTAAAAAAATTTAAATTAAAACTTTAGCTTATAAACAATAATAAAGTAATCTTTTTTAATGAAGATATTTAAAAATAATAATAATAAATAAAAAAAATTAGCCGGACCAATAACGGTTGTCTACACTTACGAATTAACTCAATCAGGTTTTTGAAGTAGTGGTGATTTTAGTATATATGTGCTAAAATAGTCTTACGACTTTGCTTTTGATTTCACCCAAAAAACTACATGCCGAGAAATGGAATTTGAAATTTGCTTTTGAGTTTGCAGTATAACCTTCACAACTTTGGATTTAATTTCATCTAAGAAACTATTGTCCTCATCGATATATGATTGGATCACTCTCTTCCCAAATCAATATGAAATTTTGTTTGCTTTTGTAACTCCAACATAGGTTTCTTTGACTAGACCATTATCACAAAGTAGATTATTAACACGTTCCATGCACACAAAATTTATAAATGTTGTATGTTATTTTTATCTTTTTATTTTTGGTAAAATTGTCCAAAATGATTCTCGAACATGGTAATGATAAATTACATAATTGATCAATCAAACAAAAAAAGTTTAAATTAATCTCCCATAACCATAACATTTCGTTAGAATTGCATTAATGAATTATATTTGAACGTATGCCTTCTTTGCTTTGCTGCGTAGTTCCACATTTATAGAGTTTTGCGTAGGGTTGAGTTCTAGAAATCGATACGGAGGAATTTGATTCGTGGACCTAAGAGTTCGATACGATACAAGAAGTTGATATCGTGGAATAATCTGATACTTGTGAGAGAGGGCCAGGTAGGAATTTTATGGATGTAGAAGATATTTTTGAATCGAATTCAATTATTTGGGATCATTTTTTTCTGTTGTCTTAAATGACCTATATTCTTTATAGAGTTGTAAGAAGCACAAACAAAGTCTCACATATATTGGCGTTAAGGAGGGGAGATATTTAGGGTACTGTTGTCCTCAGGTTTTTTTTGTTTGAAAGAAAGAGATCTCGAGGTTGTGGCTTGTGGTACACATGTCACTGTTCCAGCCTTGTAATTTGTGTAGTTGTGTTTTATTTGGGATAAGAGTAGGAAGCTAAAAAGTTTTCCAAGACTTTTCGGAAAAATCTTAATTTTTGGAGGAATCTTTTCTAGACCACACCCTTCTTCCTCCTGATTTGATTATTCCCCTCTTGTCGTAGTGCAATATCCAAAGATCTTCCTGGCTGGACATGCGAGGAAGAGTTCATATTAAAATACTTTAATTATAGTTGATTATAGAAATATTATGAATCAAGTTAAAAATTAGGGAGCTGAATTAACCATATATCCAAAACCATGGGTTCTGATCTGGTTTAAATTGTCTAAAAGGGTGGGTTTGGCCGACCTTCTAGTTTAATCACTTTTTCAACAAATATTTCTCCTTCAAAAGTCTATTATAAAAATATATTTAATTAAAATACTTGAATATAACTCAAAATTGATTAAGTCATAAAGTAACCTTCCTGGGAAGAGTAATGTGCAAAGATATAATTAAAGGTTTAGGATAACTCATATTACTATTACTCAATAAGTAGTTATAAGTAGTTAATTAGGCCGTTAAGACATGTATAAGATAACTCTTTTCTGAGTTCTGAGTCTCTACACCACCTATTATTGACGTACTCAAAAAAGAAAAAAAATTCTTACTCATCATGCGACACTATTCTAGTGTCGATTTTTCTTACTTATAATCTCTAATTACCACATGTAATTTTCATACTAATTTTATTCTACAAAATTTTTATCATTTTCTTCGTACATTTATTTTGTTATATATAATATCGTGTGTTATACATGTATTCAGCCATCTGGGTATAATTTAATGTAATCTTTACTTATTTGTACACAGGAAAAAATAGTAAACAAATATATATATGGTATTCTTTTAGGAGTTTACAGTTTATTTAATGTAGTCTTTTCCATATAATAGTAGTCTTCACTTATTAATAAGAAAATAGGTTTAGACATGCAACATTCTCAAGAATAAGATCATCACGAATGTAAATAAACACTTCTACAATATAAGATATATAGATGATAATAATTAAACTAGTAAGCTCTTTATCATTAACTATAAATATATGATAATTGAGTTAGTTATCAAATATAAACATTAAGATTATACTTACACTACTTACAATTAAGTAATGAAATCTTGAGTTTTACTCCTTAATTAGTAAATACAAAGATGTTTAACGAAAAAGAGAAAAAAAAAAGATAGAATAAAAGTTTATAAGCCTTGTCCCATGGTAAATAGTTCCCATGAATTTTGTGAATCAAAATCAAGAACTACAGTTTCGATCATATATTGGTTTTTTTTTGTTGTTTGAGGTCAATCTGTAATTACTTACATTTATTGTATGTATAAATATATTAAAAACATACTAGATATCTGAAATGCAAACAAAGTTATGGTGAGAAAAGGAGGTGATTCATGGTATATTAAGCGTAGACAATTATCTCTACAAGTTCGAGACCTTTTAAATAGAATGAAAAGCAAAAAACAAATTTTAAGTTCATAGATTACAACAATAGATATATTTTATCATAGATTTGAATCTTCCATCCATCCGACCTCAAAGAAAAAAAAAGAAAAAAATATTTTTGCTCAAGTCAGCTGCGGCACTAAATAATTGTATGGTTGGTTTCTTTGACTTTCTTAGATTTTTCATGTGCTCTGAAAAAAGCCGAAGAGAAGTAAAAAAAAATTCATTTAGACACAATGATTATAAATTGATACCCTTTATTTTATTATCCCATTATTATTGATAGATAATATGACAATGCTGCATGCATCCAGTAGATAAAGAAAGACAAGCATTTAGGCAGGGACATGGCCCAGGCCAACAGGCAGCTCGAGTGGTGCAAAAGATAAGACCTTCCAAGACTTGTCACTTGGCTTGTCCAGCACAACAGCAACGTAAAGTCTAATGGAACTTACAGGGCAACCATGAACTATTATCTTTTCTGTCACCTTCACCTCCACCACAAGCCGGTATTCTTTTCCAGCCGCCACCAGCTGAATCTCGCCGCTCACCACACCGACAAACTCCATCGATGCCACGAGCCCTACTGGCTTAGGCTGTTCCATCACTGCAAACCTTCCCATCTCTTGCACATATGGGTCCTTGATGTTCTTAATCGGCTCCCAACCACCAGGCTTTTTGACATGTTGCAATGCATCGTTTTGTGCGGGGGCGACTGCCACAGAATCCATCCCTAGCTTTCGATAGAGAGTTGTTGGAACAAAACTTTCTAATGGCTTAGCTTCTTGGTTTGCTCTACATCTCAGGAGTAGTTCAACATGCATTTATAGAGTTGGGGTGTGTTGAAGGCTAAAAATCGATGTCGACGAATTTGATTCGTGTACCTAAGAGTTAAATAATAGAACAAGGTCATGGAATATATGACACGTTAGGACGAATAAGAATAATCTAGCTTTGAATCCAATTCAATTAGTTGGGACCATTATTATATTTATTGTCTTAATTGGTCGTAGGCACTACAAAAAATTTGAATTTCACTAAAAAAAATGAATGACGCTATCCCGCCAACTAGTTAAAGTTTGAGAATAGACGCTATCCAGCCAACTAGTTAAAGTTTGAGAATAGATCATAAAGACGATGGAGATCGATACACTCGAATCTAACAAAATCAGAGTTTATAAAGAGATGACAAAAATTCTATGAAAAAAACTAGTTAAAGTTTGAGAATAGATGCTATCCCGCCAACTAGTTAAAGTTTGAGAACAGATCATAAAGACGATGGAGATCGATACACTCGAATCTAACAAAATCAGAGTTATAAAGAGATGACAAAAAGTTCTATGAAAAAATATATAGAAGTTGTTTATAATTTACTTTATGGAAATTGACCATCCAAGTTCATTTAGTTTTCCATATAATTTCTAGAGACAAATTTAAAGAACTTTTTGGTTGGATATTTATTTTTATTCATATTTAATCATATGCAATTACTTTCCAACTTTACCTAGAATGGGAATTATCATACTAAGAACAAGGAAGAAAAAAAAAGGAAAGTAGGAAAGAATATTTATATGTTAAAAAAAACCAACTTAAGAGAGCACAAGAGATATATAGGAATATGGATGAAATAAGAAATTCACTTTTAAGTCTGGTGGAATCTTACCTATAAAGTTGTACAGGTACTAAATCATTATATATATTTGCTTTATATTGACAGAAATTTCCTTAGAAGAGATTAAATCTTTAAAAAAATTTAAATTATAAGAACTAAATCCGTACGTACTAAAGTTGAATGATTAATTAAATTATTACAACCTTTAAATGAAAAATAATTTAGTAAAATCTTTGAGCAAAATTAACTTTGAAAAGGTAAATAATATGGTTTCCAAAACCATTGTATTAATTAAATATGTTCAAAACTATAATATTTATTTATGTGCTTCTATCTCAAAATTAATCGGTAATGAAAAAAGTATCTGGTGTCTATTATAAACTTTGTAACGTCCTTTTCTTTTTAATGTGAAATTCTTAACATCTCAAAACTCATTGGCAATTAATGAGAGAAAGAGAAATAGTTCATGTTTATTATAAACCTTTGGTTCAACATCGTGATTCTTTTAGCTCATTGATATTATTGGTCCGATCTCATTTTTGTAGTTGAGCTTTTTGGGCTCTAATACCATATATTATTATACATGTCTTCCATCTCAAAACCAATTGACAATGAGGGGAGTAACTCATATCTATTATATATAAAACTTTATTAGGTCTTTATCTTTTTGTAGAGCGCCCTATAAATTGAGGTATATGCCACTGCCACCAAACTACCCAACACAAGTAGGAGTGAGACTCGAACCTAGACACTAGCTAGGTGTCAACATCCAGCCTTGAGACCATTCCCTGCACCTGCAACTGCTATCACTTTCTTATATTTTGAAGCAAGTGCTTTAGTGAACTTGTCCTAAAGGTTGCCTAAATGTTCATATCCACATATAGCTTATATATAATTATACAAAAATCGTATCCGAGTTGACTCTTGATTGAAATTGTTGAGTTGATCAATTTTGGGATAAAAAAAAGATAGAGAGTGAAGAGAAAAACACTCATTTGGACTTATAAAAGTAGACATAGATAGTCATTATTTGATATCATATCCCATTACATAGATAAAGATAATGCAGCATATTGCATATATATTAGATATATAGCTAGCTTCAATTGATGGGTTCGCAAGGCACAAAATATGTTTAGACACACAACATTCTCAATAAACACTTCTACAACAGATATATATAAAGATATATAAATGATAATAATTAAACTAGTAAGCTCTTTATCATTAACTATAAATATAAGATAATTGAGTTAGTTATCAAATATAAACATTAAGATTTAACGTAGTATATATATATACTTACAATTAAGTAGTGAAATCTTGAATTTTACTCCTTAATTTACTTACAATTAAGTAGTGAAATCTTGAATTTTACTCCTTAATTAGTAAACACAAAGACGTTTAACGAAAAAGAAAAAAAAAAGAGATAGTATAAAAGTTTATAAGTCTTGTCCCACGGTAAATAGTTCCCATGAATTTTGTGAATCAAAGTCAAGAACCACAATTTCAATGATATATTGGTTTTTTTTTTCTTGTTTGAGGTTAATCGGTAATTACTGGACATTTATTGTATGGATAAATATATTAAAAACATACTAGATATGTTGGGGTGGAATGGGGTGGAAACAATGTTATGGTGAGGGAAAGAGGTGATTCATGTATATTAAGCGTACACAATTATCTCTAGTTGTTTGAGGCCTTTTAAATGAAATGAAAAGTAAAAAAAAAAAAAACAAATTTTAATTTGATAGATTACAATAATAGATTTTTTTTATAGATACCTTAATTAACACAATAACCATTAAGTAATTAGGAGAGTAATAACTAATCTCTCCGAGGATCATAGATTTAAATCTTCCATCCCATCTCAACAAAAAAAAAAGGGAAAAAAATATTTTTGCTCAAGTCGTTGGCACTTCGCACTAAATAATTGTATGGTTGGTTTCTTTCACTTTCTTAGATTTTTCATGCGCTTTGAAAAAAGAGGTAAAAAAGTATTCATTTAGACACTATGATTATAAATTGATACCCTTTATTTTATTATCCCATTACTATTGATAGATAATATGACAATGCAGCATGCATCATCTAAAGTAGATAAATAAAGACAAGCATTTAGGCCGGGACTACATGGCCAGGGCCAACAGGCAGCTCGAGTGGTGCAAAAGATAAGACCTTCCAAGACTTGTCACTTGGCTTGTCCAGCACAACAGCAACGTAAAGTCTAATGGAACTTACAGGGCAACCATGAACTATTATCTTTTCTGTCACCCTCACCTCCACCACAAGCCGGTATTCTTTTCCATGGGCGACCAGTTGAATCTCGCCGCTCACCACACCGATGAACTCCATTGATGCAATGAGCTCTGATGGCTTAGGGTGCTGCTCCATCACTGCAAACCTTCCCATCTCTTGCACATATGGATCCTTAATGTTCTTAATCGGCTCCCAACCACCAGGCATTTTGAGATGGAGCAATGCATCGTTCTGTGCGGGGGCGACTGCCACAGAATCCATCCCTAACGTTCAATAGAGAGTTGTTGGAACAAAACTTTCTAATGGCTTAGCTTCTTGGTTTGCTCTACATCTCAAGGAGTAGTTCAACATGCATTTATAGAGTTGGGGTGTGTTGAATGCTAGAAATCGATGTCGAGGAATTTGATTTGTGGACCTAAGAGTTCAATAATAGAACAAGGTCATGGAATATATGACACATTAGGGCGAATAAGAATTTAGCTTTGAATCCAATTCAATTAGTTGGGACCATTATTATATTTATTGTCTTAATTGGTCTTACATCATTTGTGACATCTAAAACACTACAAAAAATTTGAGTTTCACTGAAGTTTGAGAATAGATCATAAATACGATGGAGATGGATACACTCGAATCTAACAAAACCAGACTTGTTTATAAAGAGATATAAAAATTCTATGGAAAAATATATAGTGGTTAAATAAGTTGTTTATAATTTACTTCATGGAAATTGACCATCCAAGTTCATTTAGTTTTCCATATAATTTCTAGAGACAAATTTAAATAACTTTCTGGTGGGATATTTATTTTTATTCATATTTAATTATATGCAATTACTTTCCAACTTTACCTAGAATGGGAATTATCATACTAAGAACAAGAAAGAAAAAATAAAAGGAAAGTAGGCAAGAATATATATATGTTAAAAAAAACGAAAGATATACAGGAATATCGATGAAATAAGAAATTTAGTTTTTAAGTCTCTCATATAAAGTAGTATAGGTACTAAATCATTATATATATTTGTTTTATCTTGACAGAATTTTCCTTAGAAGAGACTAAATCTTTAAAAAATTTAAATTTTAAGAGCTAAATCAGTACATATTAAAGTTGAATGATTAATTAAATTATTACAACCTTTAAATGAAAAATAATTTAGTAAAATCTTTGAGCAAAATTAACTTTGAAAAGGTAAATAATATGGTTTCCAAAACCATTGTATTAATTATAACATATTATATATGTTCAAACTATCAATATTTATGTGCTTCTATCTCAAAATTAATCTGAGAAGAGTATCTCGTGTATATTATAAACTTTGTAACGTCCATTTTCTTTTTAATGTGAAATTCTTAACATCTCAAAACTCATTGGCAATTAATGAGAGAAATAGTCCATATTTATTATAAATCTTTGGTTCAAGATCATGATTCTTTCGGCTCATCGATCTTGGTCAGATCTCATTTTTGTAGTTGAGCTATTATTATAGATGGGTTTCATCCCAAAACAAATTGGCAATGAGATGAGTAGCTCATATCTATAATATATAAACTTTTATTAGGTCTTTATCTTTTCAATGGGGATACTTAACATCCTTAACATGTCCCTTATGGGATCCAGTCAAAATTAATAAGCTAAAAGAGCAATGATCTTGAGGGGTATGTTAAGGATTCCACAGTGAAAAAATAAGTTACCCATCTCACACAAAATTGTAAAAAAGTGGACAAGCTTTTGTATATATGAAAATATTTTATCATTAAAAGGAGTCGGTAGTTAAAATACTTTTACCTTACCTCTTGTTATGGTATAAAATTGGTATGAAACAAAGTTAAATACCAAAAATCACCATAGGAATTAACAAATTCATCTGTAAAATGGTGAAACCAACACATTATAAATTTATCGATCCATGAGTTCAAGGAAACGAAATCCTCTCGGGCATTTTATCAAACACCTCCCAAGCAACATCCATATTCCCAAACTTACAAATTCCACCTAACCATCAGAACCAACGGCCTTGTAACTTGTAAGCATAAAAGAGTACCATCCCAAGCCTTAACCTATAATCACAAAATTTCAAAGTAACAAATATTTTGCCCCAACCATTATTTCGGATAATTAATCAATATTTTACGAGTAACATGTCAAGGCAACAAATATTTCATGATTAACTAAGTTGTTGCATTTTTCTCTTGAATTATTTGGCCCAATCTATTTAATTTTTCTATCATGATTTGAAATCACCCGCGGTTTAGCTTAACTTTTTGTGGAGCACCCTATAAACCGACCGTATATGCGACTACCAACAAATTACCCAACACAAGCAGGAGACTTGAACCTAGACGCTAGCTAGGTGACAACATCCAGCCTTGAGACCATTCCCACGCCCGTAAGTGTTATCACTTTCTTATATTTTGAAGCAAGTGCTTTAGTGAACTTGTCCTAAAGTTGCCTAAATGTTCATATTCACATATAGCTTATATATAATTATACAAAAATCGCATCCGAGTTGACTCTTGATTGAAATTGTTGAGTTGATCAAATTTGGGATAAAAGAAGATAGAGAGTGAAGAGAAAAACACTCATTTGGACTTATAAAAGTAGACATAGATAGTCATTTTATTTGATATCATATCCGATTACATAGATAAAGATAATGCAGCATATTGCATATATATTAGATATATAGCTAGCTTCAATTGATGGGTTCGCAAGGCACAAAGGATAAGAGCGCCCAGGACTTCTCCCATGCCTTGTCCAGCATAATAGCCTTGAAAAACTTGATGGAACTCGGCATACTCGGAATTATTATCGTCTCTTTCACCTCGATCACAAGGCAGTATTTTTTCCCGCCCACCACCTGAGACTCACCGCTCACGACACGGATGAACTCGTACGATGCCCCACAAAGGTTATGTGTATGCTCCATCACTGCAAACCTTCCCAACTCTTGAACATATGGGTCATTGATGTTCTTAATTGGTTCCCAGCCACCAGGCTTTTGGACGTTAAGCAAGGCATCGTTCTGCTGTACTGCAGGGGCAACTGCCACAGGATCCATTGTAGGTTTTGATAGATAATTGGAAACTGAACTTTTTAATGCCTTCTTTGGTTTGCTACCTCTCCATCTCATTAGTAGTTCCACATTTATAGAGTTTGAGGGTAGGGTTGAGTTCTTGAAATAGATATCGAGGAATTTGATTTGTGGACCTAAGAGTACGATACGATACAAGAAGTTGATACCGTGAATCTAATACGTGTGAGAGAGTCGATAGGAATTTTATGGATGTTAGAAGATAGCTTCGAATCCAATTCAATTACTTGGGACCATTTATTTCGTTGTCTTAAATGACTGATGTTCTTCATGATATCTTATTATTAGAATGGTAAGAATGTTAAGGGTGAATAAATCACCACTCAACACAAAAGCTTAAGCTGATGGATTGGGTAAATTTAACTCATTTATATGGATTCTCAACAAAAGAAGTGCAAACAAAGTCCTACTACACATTGGTTAGGGAAAGGAGATACTTGAGAATATTGTTGTCCTCTCAAAGACGAAACAAAAATGATTAGTGAACCTTATAGTCATTAGGTTTCTTTGTTCGAGAGAAAGAGATCCAAGGGTGTGGCTTGTGGTGGACACACCAAGTTCTCACATTCTAATTTATCTAATTGTGTGTTTTATATAGACGTACTGGATAAGAACAGCTATTCCAGGCAAGATACAAGTAATGCTTTGTTTGAGGAGTGCCAACCAAGCCACCCACCCAAGCAAATTTCACATTCCCTCCAATATGGCCAAGGCCTCCAGCATCTTCACACTTTTTCGGGCACCGACGAACTGATTGTCGGCAAGGATAATGACACCATCCCAGTTTCACAAAACCTATTCATAGTTGATGGTCTTTGTGACATTTTTTAAATGGTAATAGTTAACATATTAATAAACAACTTATTAGATAGTTCAGCGGTAATTACATGTTTTACCCTCTGCTATTTTGAATTTAAGTAAATTAATTTAGTTTAATTGTTGCCAATATTTTCTATAAATTATTGCATCGAGATCTTTTATTTCCATCACTATCCCTGGTGATAGCTCCTTTTTGTACTCCACTGCAGCAAGGCATGGTTTGTGGAGGGGCAACTGCAACTGAATCCATTCCTAGCTTTTGATAGATAACTATTTGGAACAAACTTTCTAATGCTGCCGCTTTGGTTTATGCTCCTGCTCTCCATCTCATTAGTAGTTCCACATTTATAGAGTTTTGGGTAGGTTGGGTTTGACCCTACAAACCCATATCAAGGCCGCCGAGCTCATGAATCGTCGTTTCATGTTCCAGTGGATGAAGAGTCAGGCTGAGGAGAAGAGTTGATATTAGATTCTTGTCCAAGGAGGTGGGGGCGATGGAGAATAATGTCAAAAGCGGCTTTTATAAAGCCTTCCTCCCTCCTTAAACTCAAAGGATTAAACCCAAATGCTCTTTGAGACTTGGATGAATCCACAGTTTTAATAGATATATAGGTCATTTCAGTCTTCTTTTATCATCTTTAATAATTCTAAAGACTCTCGTACTTTTTTTGGTTAGACCAACCTAACTGGTGATTTCCGCAAGTCTTTTTTATTTTTCGAGCAAGAAGCGAAACTACAAGGATGAAAATGTCATTTACAATTACGTCCACTAGCCCCACTTGAACAATTTGCCATTTGATATCGTGGAATCTGATACATAAGTAAGAGATGGCCCATAAAAATTAGATGATAGCTTTGAATCCAATTCAATTAGTTGGGACCATTTATTTCATTGTCTTAAATGACGACTATTTTTTATGGCATCTCAATCGCTTCAAAAAATTTGAGTATCTTGACACAATTTCAAGTGTATCCTATTCTACACACAATAAGATGACTTCAAGTTTCTTTGACATATCACCAATTCTGATTAATTATCATGAGTTGAAACTCTTTTTTTTCAAAGATAAACTATTTCAATAAAGAGAGTATGTGAGAAACATACAAAAATACAAAAACAGAAGCTTAAATAAAAGCACATCAATTGGGAGAAATGATAGTAAGATCAATAGTTATAAAAGAGAGGTGATTTGGATGACCAATATGAAGAAAGAATCTTTGAATCATTCCAAAGGTGGGTACAAGATCTTGAAGTATCCAAGAAAATGCGATTGTATTGCTCCAACCAAATGTTCCAAATGACAGAGACCACAGTATTGCTCCATAAAGTGTCCATTCGACTCTTTAAAGGGACAAAGAGGAAGAGAGATTCCTAAATGAAGTCATCAACACGAGCTAGGAGAGGAAGATTGATGCCTGAAAACGCCAAAAAGGAGAGTCCAAATGGAGCCTGAATATGGGCAATGCACGAACAAATGATACAGAGATTCAGAGTGGCGATAGCACGAGACGCACCAATTTGGATTTAAGACTAGTGTACGACACAAGGTTAGTGAGTTCAAACCCTTACCCACTTTGTTGTACATGAAAATTTCATTAAAAACAAACCAAAATAAAAAGGGTAGAAAATAATGTTATGCTATAGAAAAAACTATATTAATTCACATCTTATTCAGAGTCAGAGTATGACGTGTATGATTGTGCGACCACTTGATAGGATAGTGTTCATTCTAGATCCTAAACACTGATGAGGTTTGCTTGGAATTTACTTTTTACTTCTTACTGATTTTTCTCATTTCTTTTCTGCTGTTTTGTTTTTTTGTTGTCATTCTCTTCTCCATGTTTATTGCCAGCAGCAGGTCTCTTTGAATACTATAATTATGTGTCTTGCTTTCACGCTAGCAGGTCTCTTTAAATACTATAATTATTTCTTGTTTTCACGCTGTGAGATCCATCTTTTTTCAATGCAATATACTCAATTTTTAGACACGAGATTAGACATTAATAGTTTTTATTTTATTCCTCCATTATTATTACTAGATAAGGATATTAGCTAATTCAATTCCCTCATTTAAGCTAGGGGTTGGGAGGGATTACAGGGCCAAAGGGGGGCAGGGTGAAAGTGAAAGGTTCAAAAGATAAGAGCTCCCAAGATCCATCATTTGGCTTATGTAGCACAATTGCCACATATAACTCAGTACAAATAGGCCTCAATGAATCATAAGTTATTCTGATCTGTTGTTCCACCTCCACCACAAGCCCATATTTTTTTCCTTCCACCACCTGAAGAATCTCACCCCTCACCACACCAATGAACTTCATTGATGCCCCTACAAGCTTGTGTGTATGCTCCATCACTGCAAATCTTCCCATCTCTTGTACATATGGGTCATTGATGTTCTTAATTGGTTCCCATCCACCAGGCTGTTCGACGACGTTGAACAAGGGGTCGTTTTGTCTAGGGGCAACCGTCACAGAATCCATCCTAACTTTTGATAGATATATATAGTTTGAAGAGAACTTTGTGACGGTCGTTTGCTCTTGATCTGGAGGAGTTGTGTGTAGTTCGACATTTATAGAGTTGTGGTTCGACCCCACAAATGGATATCGAGGAATTTTTTATTTGTGGACCAAAGAGTTCGATGATAGCACTTGATATGATATCATTGAATCTTGATATATGGATCTCGTCAAAAGAGAGGGTACTACAAAAAATAAAGTTTTTCCCGACACTTAAAACTATTGGGAAAAACCTAAAACCTTGATTTCAATCCTAAAGTTTAGGTTAGACATAAGATTATCTTACAAAGAATAAGTTTCTTGACCCAAAGAGTCGAACATATACTCCACGAGATCATAGGTTGATCAATATCCTTTGGCATATGCAACTTATTAAGAAGGTTCGAGAAGCTCTGGGCTAACTTGAAAGTAAGTAAAAGTTGGAAGGCTAAAAAATTTTCACCAAAACTCATCCAATTTGTGAAACAAACTAACGGAGTCTCCCAACTAAACCCTAGAATGCCACATAATCAAACATTGCAAAATGATTTAAAAAAAAAAAAACACCTACTTAATATCTTAAAGGGTAAAATTGAAAAGCAATAAAATTACATAAAAAATACTTTTAAAGAATAATGGGTTTGGTTCAAACATGTTTAATATACATGATCATTATTACTATTTCATGATTTGGTTCTTTTATTCCCATATTGAAATAGTTTGCATGTAGCATCTCTCTCCAAAATTTGACAATCATGTAATTAATTAATTTTAAATAGATTATTGAAGTTTTTCTAAAGCTTTTCACCCAACACTTTGAATCCGAAATGTTCAGCATAAATGACAAACAAATGCCTTAATAAGAAGTATTTCGATGCTTTAAGTTCAAATGGCAAATTTTCTCACATGATCTCTAAGCATCGAAAAACTAGAAAGAAAGATTATAAAGAGAATAACACATGAAATTTCTATAAAGGATATTTAGTGGAAATGTATAGAAATTGACATGGAATGGGAATCTTCTTAATGACCCAAAAAAAAAAAAAGTAGAAAAGATGTATAAGAATATTATCATGAAATGAGAAAAAGTAGAAAAGTAGATATGAAATGGGACAAATGAGGATTCTACTATCCCACTCCTTTGGATATTTAAAGATGATTTTTTTTAGTACAGTCAGAGAGGGTGGAGGGATTCGAACTCATGACCTCTTGGTCAAAGACAAGTGTCAATTATCGTTGAGTTAAATTCGGGTTGTCCTTTAAAATAAGATTTAATTTTATGTTTTCTATCTTTTGAATTTCAATTTTATAATTGGTAATTAAGTTCCTAGTTTGTAAATGTTGTTTTATGTTGGTTTTATTAAATATAGTTAAGCCTCTATAAGGTGAACTTGCATGAGAAGTGTTTATATCACCGACATAATTTGTATTACTCATTTGTTTATCCACTATTTTGTATCATTTTAATTAAAAGTTTATTTCTTCGTTTATTGAATTCTATTCTCACATTTCACGTTTTCTATTTCCTCATTGTCCGTCAAACATTGAGAATTTAATTATTTCTTCCACATTATTTTTTATCACTTTTATTTTCCCACGACTATCAATGGCTTTTTCTATTTCCTCATTGTTCGTCAAACATTGAGAATTTAATTATTTCTTCCACATTATTTTTTATCACTTTTATTTTCCCACGACTATCCATGGCTTCTACAAATCTACACGAATCGGCAAAGTCATTCACTTTAGGAGAGTTAATTTCTTTTGGGAACCTTCAAAGTCATTCAGCAATGAGAGAAGGGTTCTTTTGTTTAATATTGCCTATGTTTAAACTGCATAAGCTATGGAAAACTACTTCCCGACCAACTAATTCATGGTGTCAAAGTGAGCATAGTTCAATGTTAATTGACATATATCTCCAACTAAGAGGTTGCGAGTTCGATCTCCGCTCCAAATATTGTACTAAAAAAAGAAAAGAAAAAAAAACCTACTTCACGACAGCCACAGAATTAGAAAGCGCTACAATAAATATTGAACAAATTACACAAAGGTTCAAAAGAAGTTTAAAGTGAATGTATTTGTTTCACTCTCTGGATCACTTTCTTAAACTTGGTTGATGGTTCTTCATACAACATTGCAGGGTCATCAAACTCCGATGCCAAGCTCGGCTCGCCAAGAAATGCACGGAACGAGTCCGCCACCGAGTATGAAAGGGACTTGAGGTTGTAACCCCCTTCCAGAAAAAATACACATCGACCCTCGCATAAATCCTTGGCCAGTTGCTTAATATTGGATGCGAGCATGTAGTATGTTCCTGTCGTGAATTGCAGACTGGCTAATGGATCTAATACATGAGCATCATACCTGGACAAATAAGTTGCAACTTATTCAAACTTTTTTTTTTTGACAAGAAACAAACTTTCCATTGAATTATTGAGAAGGAATGATAATGTTCAACGATATGGTTTCTGCAACTTATTCAAACTAGCCTAGTTAATCTATATGGTTTCTGAAATCAACCTATTAACTAACACAGTCAAGTATGATTAAGAGAATATATGCTCCAACGCGATTAAGAACACCATTTGGCTAGTAGCCAAATTTCGAAAGAGGGGGAAGAAGGATTTTTTTAGTTTTCTAAATTTGGTTTAAATTTTGAATATATTCTAAAAAGTATTTAACAAAATAAAGAAATACAAAGAAGGAAGTAATAAGCTTAATTTTCAAAAATTGAAAAAAAAAAAACAAAATTGGTATAAGGCCACAGATACTTTTTAAAGTTCGAAGACTTGTGAGACATAACATTGAAAGGTTAGAGATCTATTTTTTAAGGTTAGGAGCCTATTAGATAACCATAACAAACAAAACAAAAAATAAATAAATAAATAAAAATAAAAAATTTAAGGATCAAACTTAACCTTAAATTTTCTAGATGGAGGGAACTCACCCAGCAGAGACGAGAATGATATCAGGCTTAAATCTTTGAGCACAAGGTACAATTACTTCATCAAACACCGTTTTCATTGCAGAATCGCCTGAGCCTCCCGGTAGAGGAATATTCAAAGTCGTTCCTTCACCGTTTCCATGACCAACCTCATCAATTTTACCAGTTCCAGGGTAACTCCCATCCTGAACCAGACGGGATTAAATTACCAATGAAAAGACTGGTTCTTCTAGTTAATGCTACCAGGTAAAGTAACAAGGACAAAGTCCAGAAACCAAAAGTCTAAGAAGTTACCAACAGTCATGCATTACAAGTTTCAAGTTAGCGTCTCATGTCTGAGTCGTTCATGCTTCTTTCTAATAATCACATGAAAGAATGAAATGTTTATCACATTTTTCTTAAATAATGCTTACTTGGTGAGTTGAAAGAAATAATATATCCGAATCATCGTAGAAGGCATCACTTGTTCCATTCCCATGGTGAGCATCAAAATCTATAATAAAAACACGCTTCAGTCCATGCACACGTTGAGCATAACGAGCAGCAATAGCTACATTCCCAAAAACACAGAATCCCATTGGTCCCTTGGGTACTGCATGATGTCCCGGAGGTCTTATCAATGCAAAACCAATTGGCGGATCCTTGTAGGTTTTGGATGCTGTGACCTGAAACCAAGCACATTGGTAAATGAAACTCTAAATACTGCGTATGCAAGGGGTTGGACATTAAAAGATTAAAAACTAATGAACACTCGAAGATAGAAAGCCCAGAATTTCTCCTTAAAATGTGTAGTTTGACTACATACATGGGATAACATACAAAAATTATCATTTAGTAACTAACGTGCTGGGTTGAGACATCACCACTGAATCAACTATCGAAATTCCTGCTCCGGCTGCAACTAGGGATTCCTTAAATGTCTGCATTGCCAACAGTATCAAAATGTGGTCATGCTAATGGTATTGCTCCAAATAAAGACGTTAATGCTAAGCTATCAAGTGCCTTTTACATATCAAAGATACTGGCATATGTGTGTGTATATATAACCGAAGGCCCCTTACTGGAATATGACCAGATTGAAAGAGGGCAGTGGGTCAATGGCAGGGGCTGGAAACTTCACTACAGCTTAAGATGCTCAAGGAAAATTGAGACCAAGGATGATCTAACAGAAATAAGGCCGCTATGGTTAGGAATAACAGGTGAATCTTGATAGATAGCTTTTCAGGTGGAAGGCATTCGCAATCAATCAAATCACATAAACGTTGGTATCAGTGGGGGAAGGACAACTGCCATTCTATAGTTAGAGTGAACTTAAGGACATGCTTCTTAATTGTTTTTGTCCATTGAAAGAAGAAAATGTAAGCCATGTGCGAGAGGGGATTATGCTTAGGTAATGAGGTTCAAGAGGGTGGGGAGTTATCTCAGCCCTCTAACGAGTATAACAGCTTCACATATACCAAGAAGATCAAGGGTCATATAAATGATGGAGATGCTTTAACCAACAGTGGATCCTGCACGGTTTTTGTTCCTGCAAATTAGTCAAGATGCTTCAGCTACCAAAAGGAATAACTCAGAAATGCCGAGTAACTATGGCAATGGGTGGCAACATTAAGAAAACTAGAACAGGCAAGGCAACAAACGTAAGGTTGAACCAGCTATAGATAATAGAGGTTTTATCTGTCTACATCCACAGGAAATGCAGGATACATTTTGCTAAAACATACTCACTGGTCTCTGAAAATAAAATTTTGATCTCATAACCGCAAGCTGAAAATAATTGAGATATTCCAACTGGTTTTAGAGGAAGAGTGGACTTGTTTAGTTTTTTTTTTCTTTTTTTTAAGCAAAAAGTTATCATGATTTTCCATTGAACAATATTCCCTTGGGCGTTCAACCATCTTCGGATGGGAGGGGGTCTTTTATGTACAATATTAGTCATCATTTTTAAATCTTTGGTAGCTATGGTCCTGGACTTGGACTGTCCTTATTTGGTATATCATAATTTGGCTTCGAGTTCATGATCGAAGGGTTAAGATCTTGGAAGAACACTTGAGTAGAGGTCCTCCTTGTCTCCATGCTGAGCTTCTTAAGCATGTAAATAGAAGGCTAACTTTGTCTTTGGTTAGGCCAATTTAGACAACCACAATAATAGCTATGTGAAATAAAGAAAACAGAAGCAAAAACCGCTGCAACATACAAACTCACAGTGGCAGTGGCATATGTTGGTCCAGAGCCTTCAATTAAAATAAGTCCATCCTGAGAAGCCTTATCCATAGCCTGTAAATATACAGAAACAATAGTATAACAATAATACCACCAATATTATACTTCT